ACTGTTACATTTTCTGTAATGAAGTTGGCCCTAAGACACATGCCAGATTGGTATTTATTACGCATTCAACCCTTCTTGTTGTACTTACTGAAAGGCTAATCTATCATTTCAAACTAGATCCTAACCTGATTGGTTTGATTATGAACAGGTTGCAGTGTGAGAGAGTGAATGATGTTCTGTCCAACCAGCTCTCTTTTTCCACCAGCTCTCCTCAGGGCTGAAAATCATAGCCACGATAATAACAGACATCCTGAAATCTGCTGATGATACAGTTATTGTCAGCCTTCTTCAGGGGTAAGAGAAGGATCATGGGCAGGTTGTGGATGACTTCATGGTTTGGTGTGACGAGTCTTTTCTTCATTTGAATGTGTCTAAAACAATAGACATGGTCTTTGATTTTAGGAGATTGTTAAGTAGATTGACACAAGTGTCTTGGAAGGTGATATGAAGTCAAACTCAGCAGATGACGTTTTCCAGAGGTGAGCATTTATTTACAGTGGTAATCCCAACACGTGTTAACTTCATAAAACAAAAAAAGTTCAATGAAAAATTAAGTAAATTAACACATACCTAAATCAGATTATGGACCGCGTTAAAGGCAGCACGTCCTCATCTCATTTCCCTTGCAGGAACAAATGTCTCCTGATTTTATAGAGTGCCCCATTAACAAAATGGCCGCACCTGGGTTAAGCACAACTCACATAAGGAGTTGCACTTTTCTCTTAAACCCTTACCTTTAACATCAGATAATTTACTCAACTAAATGAACTTAAAATACTTCAATTATATTTGACCCGTAACTTACATAAGAAAGAAATGATACGACAGAAAACATTTCTCAGAAAACAAAACCCTTTCAGATGGTCTGCCCCAGTGATGTCAACGATGACCTCATCAACCTTATAAATACCCAGGAAGTGCTGGGCCAGCCCGTTTAGCTGCATGGGACCACATCGAGAGCTGGACAACAGAACAAACAGAAGTAAGTATGGATAACAGACAAACAATGATATATTGCAATTCCAGAAACTAAATAAAAATGACTGAACTAAATCAAGACTGTGTGTTTGCTTTAAGTTGATTTATACTTTGATGTGACCTGTAACTTAATGCTAACACAAACAAACCTGGGATTGTAAGTGCTGCAATGTTACACAAGCAAAAAATACATTATAGCAAAATACACAACTGTAAAGAATAACATGATTTGATATTAAATGAAGATTTAAGTGACAAGTGGTGAATAATAAAAGAGCATCTCACCCACTTTGTCACAGAGATCTCTGCCAAGCGCTCTGCCAAGTGTTATTAAAGCTGCTGACATTGAGATTGTGGAGAGATACAGATATGTAGGTGTGTTTGTTCTGGTTAATAAACTGTTGATGTGATGCTTCCTCCAGAAAGGTTCAGCAGGGATTGTTATTTTTAAGGAAAATACAATCTTAAACCTTTCCTCTGAGCTGAAGACTCTATTACAGAAGTTTAATCAACATTGTTTTGAGCTGCTGTGCATGGTTTGGAAATGTAAACTTGGCCAGTAAGAATAGATTTGGAAGTCTTGTAAAAACGGCCAGCAAAATGTTAGGGAGGTGTCAGGCTGGGCTTCATGCCATTTATAACAGGCTGGTCCTCAGGAGGGCTAATTCATATACTGCTCTGCCCAGATCATCCACTACAGAGTGAGTTTGACCTTTTGCCCTCCGGCTGTTGTTTCAGAGCACCTGTGAGGAAGACGAAGAGTCTCCTTTAACCACCAGTGCAATTTGTAAATTAGAATTAGCCCTCAGGTTGCTCGGCATGTACTAATATTGCACATCTGCACACCTCACCATGCACCTTGCTTTACTTGTTGAAGCACTACTTGGGTATCAGCTCTTCAGAGCTTTTGATTTGATTTGATTTGGTCATTCCGAACATGTAACATAAGGCAAAGGTGAACAGAAAAAAACAGACAGAAAATAAATAATAATTACAAACAATGGAAAGTATAATTCAGGGTGCAGAAATAGACATATTAGTAATATTTCCCTCAAGGAAAAAAATGACACCTTTATAACATCCTCATGAAATCCTCTGATTGAATCAATGATAAACCCTCCTTCCTGTTGTGGACAGCTTGGCTGAGTGGGTGGCTGTTTGTGTTTGACAGGGTTACAGTACGACATACAAACTGTATTTCATGTTTGTCAGATTTTGCCTTCCCACTCTAAGTGCTTGGATGAGCCTCTTACAGACTGGCATGATGGACTGACTGACTGTTTTCAGGATGACAGGCTGGCTGACTGACTGGAGCAGTTCACAGGGGTCCTGCCCCAATGGCCACCCCTGCAACAGGGTCCTGTGAATTTTGACAGCACTGCGATGCTTGCCTTTATTCTCTAGGAGACCTGGCCCAAACCCAGTTAGCATGTTTAATGTTGGTTCATAGTTTTTTTTGTGTCATATACACTCAGGGAAAAGGATCACTTGCCAGGTCATGCTTTTTGGTTATAAGAACCATGAGACGTTATATATATTTACCTTTTCTACTTGATTTCTTGATGGGCATGTCTTGGAGTCTTTATGGCCCAAGTTCTTGTTGCTTCTGTTGTAGCCAGGATTTCTTGTGCCTGAATCAGAATCAGAAATACTTTATTAATCCCAGAGGGAAATTCTGTGAATTTGTGCTTCTATGTGCTAATATTTAAATCAAATCAAATCAATTAGAAATTCATGAACAAGACAACAAGCGTAGTTCACACATAGTGAAGACAGTAAACATTTCAAGTGGTACCAAGAGTAAACAGACTTGATCTGGTATAGCACTTTTCTGCCTCCTGACTACTCAAAGTGCATTCGATGCAGCTTCCTGCAGGCTGAAGCCACTTTTAGTGAACATTTAAAGGAGTTGTAATTCGTACAGATTCCAACGGAAATAATCTCACAGCTTTATGCAAACTGTGCCTGATAAAACGAGTCCAAACATCTGTCACAACAGCAACACTTATGAAACAACCCATGGAGTTGAATCTTCCAGTCAGTCTTAGGATTTATTTGTGGGTGAATAATGACTATTGAAGCACAGGAGGAAACACTGAAATGAGTGCAGTTAAGTCGGCCCTTTTTTAATAAACTTCATCAACATTGAGTGTTGCAAATGTTTACAGTCCAACCAGCATGGAGACAAGCAGTAGGCTGTAGCATCAACGGTTAGAGTTGATGGTTGACATTTAACACTGTCATGCAGATGTCTTCTAAGTTTAATTAAAGCCAAAGTCTTGTCATGAACACAGATAGAAGCGGGGATTGAATTACAGTCTATAACGTTCCACATCTTTTCAGACTGGCTCTGTCCCAATTAAGGTGCTGCATCCTTCAGAGGGTGCATTTAAAAACCATTGACCTCACAGCGGCAAAACAAAGGCTGTCCAATTTGTAAGGTTCTTTCAGATGCTGTCACAAATACAAATACAAATACAAATACGTCCTTCTTTCTCTAAAGAAACAAAGGTACTTCCTTTGTGGCCCAACATATCCCATGAGTCATTGCACAACGATTCAAACAAGCTGGCATAATTTTAATTGGCCATTACACTTTTAACAGTAAGTAATCGGTTTAAACTTAGACATTATTTTAGCTAGTTTTCATGCAGCGGTTGAGGTTGCTAGGCGACAGGGGAGGTGCTAAGAACCAATAAAGGCGGAGAGAGCTGGTGATCCAAATCAGAATCCTCCGTAGACCAGACTGTCTAATTTCAGTTTGACCTGAGCAGGCTACAAAGCTGGGTCCTTCAAAGGATGCTACCCCCCCGAAATGAGACAAAGCTACAGTCTGATTTCCTGCACATAGTCACAGCCCACTAAACTTTCACCTAGTCTACAAACAGAAACACTTTCAAACACCAAAACTTCTGCACTTTTATGAAGCATCCATTAAAACAGATAAACACATTTTGTATCTTGCAGTCTTGTCAACTTCCCAAAAATCTTAAATCTTCTTATCTTGTTTTTCCAAAAACTGTTCATGTCTACTTTTTTGCAGATCTGTTTCTAATGTTCATATTTGCTCTCCTCTGTTCACGGGTGACTGATGGGGGCACTTTGGCTGGAGCCTGACCACATCTGAGCCCACCTTTTCGCTGGAACGGAAATGCATCCCAGGAAATAGAGAGATTAGCATCAACAAGGTACAGAGATGTTCTTTGTCTGTGCGGCAGCTGGCACAGCGAGTGGGTGAGCACTTGAACATCGGCTAACTCTGTGCACTGAGAGGTTGCTTGAAAATAAAAAGTTGGGTAAAAGATTTCTGGATATAAACTAATAGTAGCATCCCTAGAAGAATCAACTAACTGTGTGGGACGAGCTGGTGAAACTAATGTCCAGACATTTTTAAGACTTATATTATTGTGAGGAAGAAAATGTTTTGACCCTATTCAAATCCAGCATCAGCACTCCTGATTTGAGTAGTGTTATTTCAGGTTGGAAAACTCTGACATCCATAGTTTAAACATAACTGACACCTTTTTTTTGCCCTTAACTTGGAACATGCAACGCACACTGGTTGATAAGATCTGCTTCTTGGATCTGAAAGCAGCAGTCTTTTTTTTTTCTCCTCCTCTGTGTTCCCTGCAGTTCCTGGAAGCACCCACAGCTTTCTAGAAAGACGTTTCGCTTGAATGTTTGATCCCAAGCTGAAATTGAGATGATGTTGACATGCTAAAGCCCAGATTCTTCAGGCTACCTGGACCAGGTCAGGGCTGATATTAAAATAGTGCAGCTACTAAAATGCAGCTGAAAACTAGTGTGATGTGATATATCATGAAAACTGAGCAGCAAAGTCCAACCTGTAACATGTGGTTTTATAGGATTTATGTATTTTCTATTTTTCTTCATTTATTTAAAGCAGGAGAACATATTTCATTGATTTTCTGACACACACGCTTCAGACAGTAATGAAACATACACAGTCACAAGGTCGTTACTTTTTCCTCAGAATATTTTAATTGTCAGTCTCCCGCACATTCCTGGCCAGCCAGGGTCCATTTATAGAAATCTTTTAACAAAAGCTTGGAATTGATGTAACTATGTTACAGACACAATATTTACAGCACATGAATACTTTGAAATGATGGTGTCATTTGACCTTCACAAAAAAATAAACACTTGAGTGATAAATATAAGTTTTGCATGCAGAATGAATTTAAGCATCCACTTCTTTGAAGTGTTGAAAGTGTTAAAGGAAAAAGGTAACGGAAGCAAACTTCTCATAGCATAGTGTTCAATATTATTTACACTTTTATGTACAAATATACAACATGGTTTTTACTGCGAGCATTCCCGCTGTACTGTGTGTTACCACTGCGAGAAGAGAAAGGATGTATGAAGGCCGAGACCAGGCTGAACAGGAAGTTAAAAAACAGTTTCCTCCTCATGTGACGTATCTTTTATTCACCACTGAAACAAAGTTAGAGATAATTAGGTCTATCTTCAAAATGCCAAATTTGAAATTCTTTCTAGTTAATATTTAACACCTGTTCTTGAGCTTATCCACTATAAAAAAAACAAAAACAGATTGCATTCAAAGTGAGCTGTAGTTTGGTCCTCCGTAGAGTGGTGAAGAGGGGCCGATCTGATCTGATCTTAAAGGTATAGTATGCTACATTTCAAACTTAAATATAGCAGATGTAAAAAAAAAAATCAGAGTAATGAAAAATAAAAAGTCAAACACCCTCTGGATTTGTTGTTGTCAACTCTGTGTTCACACCATAGACTGTATAGACCTGCTTAGAGTGAAGTCTTAATATTTAGAGCTCCCCCTGCTGCCTGGCTGCAGTATAGGTCATAAACTCCGCCCACCTGAGGGATTTATGCCCTTTTATCAGTGAGTTAAACGTTATTTTTTTATTAGCGGAAATGTCAATACTGCTGCTCTTTCAGTCGATCCCTACTGCACAAATATGTCAACGGTCGAGGGAGGCTGAGAGACGCTGTCCACCAGTATATACAGTCCATGGTTCACACTGACAATTGTATACATGTTTTTAGACGTGAACCCCTCCCTCTAACGTCAAGCCCTGCCACCACCCTTGAGGAAGACAGCCAGCCCCGCCCACTCAGGGACGCTGTGTGAAGAGGCAAAATGGCGGAGCTTCGTCGCAAGAGTACTTTTCAAGGAGAACGAAGAAAATGCCTTGTTTGGTGTGAAATATTTCAAAGACGTAAGAAACTGAACTCTGAATGGAGATCAGTCCCGCTAACGGCTGCACTCGGTCAGAACTCTGAGGGAGGGGTGAGAGGAGGAGGAGGATGGGGTGAGGTTTGTTTTTATTTGAGAGACTGATGCTAAAAAGGTGACGTATACTGGATATCTACTCTGAAAGTTGCATAGTATACTTTTTAGAATTAAAAAGCATGATGTCATGACATAATGTCAGTGAAAGATGCCTAGAGGTCCAAAGTAAATATTACGGTCAGCTCTGGATATTTAAAAAAGACGTAAGCCAACACATATCCAACAGCATAATTCACCAGTCATCCTTTGCTAATATTAGACTCTCATTAAACTATGACCAGACTTGGAGGGGCGGCCCAGAGTGAAGTCATGTTACACTTAAAGTGTCTTTTTCAAGGTTGAACGTGGGATATTTTATTGTAGCAGTAAAGGTCATTACAGGTTGTGAGATGATAATGAGTAGGTTTGTTGGATGTGAAGAGGCCATGTCTGACAGTTCTGTGTCCTTTAAGAGTGGCTTTTTCAGATGACGGCAAACACTCTGAAGGCTTTTCCAGCTGTCGGGTTAAGCAGGCTGGAAGAGACAGAGCAGATTACGTTATGTGCGTGGAGATGACCTCATCATACTGACCGAAAACACTGAAAATAACAGCCTGGCAAGATTTTTTAAACATGCATAATTAATCTGTCCATAGATACAATCACTTTCATTAATATCTCATTTTCTTAACCATACCTGTCTGAGGTGATGCCGTTCTGGTGACTGCCGATGTACTGCCTCCTTTTGTCCACAGGCATCACATCAAGGTACCCTCCTGACTCAGTCTGGATCACTCCTGCATGAATGGCTGCTCGACAGATACTGGATTTCTGGAGGGGGAAAAATAGATATTCAAATATTTTTTTCTATAAAGTGTTGCATCAAACCAGTCATAGAAAAATTTGTAAGACGATGGCGCCGATTGACTTAGCGTTTAGGTTGTATGCCCCACGTACGTAAGGTCAAATGTCTTTGTAAAAAAAAAAAAAACAACAACATCGATGTTAGAACTCACATCTGAGAAGTAGTTTGTCCCAATGACTCGAGCTCGACTGTCCCGTAAGCAGTTCCTGGGACAATAAAGCCTGAGAGAAAAAAACACATCTCACGTAAAGCTACAGCTAATTGTAGTACAAGAAACAGAAAGGTATCAGGTGTACCACATTATTAAACTAATATTAATAAAAACAACTTGAAGATGACCGCTGTCTTAACTGATTTAATGTGGAAACTGGGAATTTTGTATGACTTGACTTGACTTGACTTGACTTGACTTGACTTGCTTGATTCTCACCGCAGTGACTTGTGACTTGCTTGAGACTTGAAGGTTGAGACATGAGACTTGCTTGTGACTTGTACATGTGTGACCTACTCCCATGTCTGGTAGGGCCTCATCATCTATATAGGGCTCATATTTGCGGAAGTGTTTTTTTTTCACATCAGGCAGTTGTCTGCAGTATGAGAAATATTACTTAGGTAATTGACATCCAGCGTTTCCCGCACTTTGACTGAGCTGTTTGCTCTGTAATTCCGTAACTATTCCACTTTTGTTTTGATCGTTTTGATTTGCCAATTAATTAACATCAGGCATCCAATTCACGTTACCCAGCTGATGGACGTAAGTCACAAAAAATTCCCCACTTTGGCCGAGGGCAGTCCTGCTCTATAATAGTAATTTTTTTTAAACCAGCATCTTCTGGCAAACTATCATTTTTGAATAATGTTTCTTTTTAAGATTTGAATGTAAAAGTTAAAACTATCAAAGCAGAGATAAAGAACATGTTATTTTTTTTTAGAAATATAACTTAAGATATTCACATCACATATAAAAATATCTTAAAGATAGTCTCACATCAATGATGCTTATGAAAGGTTAGCTAGATAGCCATCGGTAGGTATATATCGTAACCTATTTTAGAAGATCACAGAGACAAATGGTTGTCATACATTTCCTGTACAATCTGTGGCTCATACATTTTGTGGTGACTGAACCTCACCTGGGACAATGTCGTACAGGTTTCTTGAAGGGGCAGAACGTTGCAACGGTGGTATCACACAGTACTGCCTTTACTGGGAGAGAAAATGTACCTTTAGGTTTTTCTGTATGCAGACAACATGATGCTGTATCTTTATGCACAGTGGGAAAACCACTAGATGTCACTTACCAGGTACTGTTTCTACTTTGAAGGAATTTGCGCTCCTGTTTTTCCTGTGAGGTGAAAGAAAAATGTATAAAGTTGAGGTCTGTGCATCAGTAGCAGAACAACCCCCCCAAAAAAGGAGTTAGAGTAATACTCATAGACCGTTATAATGAAACAAACTTTAAAACAGAGCCTGATTCATACCCAAGTGACTGAATACCATTCTTGTATGACTTGGTGAATTGTTGTTTTCTGCCCAGTCTGGTCACATCCAGCCACCCTCCATCATTGTCAATAACACCCGAGTGTAAAGCAGCTGCACACACGCTGGATTGCTGCAGTAAGAGACAAACACTAGAAGCTCATTTAAGGCAGAGTGTAGCTTAAATGAGACATGAAGTTTCTATGGCTACAAATATTTATCTAAAAATATCAAACAGCAAGCACATCTGAATAGTTGAGGACTGGGTGCTGGACAAAAAAAACAAATCCAAAGACAGAGGAAGATGTAGTCTGCACATAGGAGAAGCTGCTCTAATAAATAATTAATGGAAAATTATGACCACATGTAACGTTTCAGGCCCGCGCCCTTCATTTAAAAAATATAACAGCAATGTGTGACACAAGTCTAGAGAAAAATGTAATGTCATGTAAACATTGAACCCACAGCAAATGGAAAAATACATCCAAATACACTATAGAACCATCAACTGAGAGGCAGCATGAAGGGCTAGGGCCCAAAATGCTGCAAGTGGTGATAATTCTCATTAAAGCAGCTTCTTGTGAGTGCAGTGGTGATTCTAGGGTCTGTTGGGGCCCTAGGCAAAAATTCATTGCGACAACCTCCAACCAGCGTTAATCATTATTTTCCTCTTTCTTTTTACTCTAAGACAGATGAATCATCTTAATTTTCCTTCAATGACACATTTTAGTTTTCACAGCAGTAATGTATGCAATGCTCAGCAGGGCATTGAGAGTGAGTGCTGTAAGATGGGGCCCCCCTGCTGTCATTGCAAAATTTGCTAATTTTGAGGCAATGCTGTGGTTTAACGTTTGTCAGCCGTTGGTGGGCCCCCCACTGTCCTGGGTCCCAAAGCAGTTGCCTGCCTTGCCTATTGACAAACAGCACCTCTGGGTGTGCGAGCATTAACATTTCTCTAAAAATGAAAATGCTCATTATTAGAGGGGGAAATAAATCGTTTTATGTAAAAATCAAGATTCTTCTCTTCTAAGATTTAAAATCGATTCATAACTTCCAAAAATCTAGCTAGCTCTTTAACTCAGTAGAATGCCAAAGAGAGCAACAAGAAATTCAGCCAGTCTCACAGATGACTGGAGTAGATCCTGAAGTATGTACTCATTCATAAATAGACTTTGAATCCCTGGATCAATAAATCCAGAATCGTTTTGAATCAGAAATCGATTCTGAATTGAATCGTAAACCCATGAATCAAATTGAGACACCCAAAGATTCCCAGCCCTATTCATTATTAAAGAGTCACAATACCATGTCGTAATATCCAGTCCCGACTACTTTTCCAGGGCTGTCCAAGCAGCCGGGTGGACACTCGTATCTATGGACAGAAACAAAAAATGAACAAAAGCTTTCCACTCATCCTGGTACATTAAACGTTTCCTAGAGTTTAAATAAAGAACCACAATCCCCAACGTTTACCTGTTACAGGTGGTTCCCTTGCACTGATCTCTCAGCTTAGTCTCACACTCCACCTGTTGGCCTAAAATAACAAACACAGTACTTACAATGTGAACTCTCACGACCCCACCATTCAGAGACATGAAATATTATGAAAGCAGTGCTTACACATCTGTTCTGTGCTGACCATCCTGTTTCTGTCTAGGTTTTCATTGGGGGAGGGGTCTGGTGTCTGAGCCCGGGGTTCAGGCTCCCTGTCCCTCACTGGTTCAGGCTCTGGTTCGATGAAGTTCGTCTCCTCGGTCTCAGGAGCTGGGCGCCTTTCAACGCCCCCATCTGAAAACATGGATACCAGTTTGTCAGTGTGTCTATTTACAAGCTGCTTGTTTTATGTTTAAACAAGGCGGGGATTACGCCTGTAGATTAATATGCAAATGTAGAAACAGAAAAACGACACTGGGCTTATAAAATTGTTTAATGAGTTGACACTATTAAGACCTAAAACCATGTTTAAGTGTTTTTACACATATATAAAACTTGTGAACATTTCCAGAAATTTGAGCTGTATGTGTCAACGCAAATGGTCCAATTTATTCACCCCCACTTAAAGCCACAATGTGCAGGAATTCAGTTTGGTGCGCTTTGGTGCCCACTGGAGGTTTCTGGGTGCAATTGCACTGTCATAAAACTCGCATGGCGTTGTTACGCCTTTTCCTCATAGACCAACATGGTGGATGGGGTGATGACTTTTATGTCTCATGACCATCACGGAGAGTGTGATCTCGTATTGAGACAGCATCATTTTCCTCTCTGTTCACCAGAATGTTCTTCTCCGCTCTTTCATTGATACCATGAATATGTTGAACTGCACATAGCACTGTGATCAAAGCATCACACTTGGTTGCTTCGTCCGCTGTCAATTCAGCATCATTCTTTTTACATCCTCCTCGGATACCCAGAATTTTCTAGAAATGTTCAGGGGTGCATGTGTGAAAAACGCTTTTGTGAGGTTCAAAGAAATGCAGGAAGACACAGGATGCCAGAAAAACAACAGCTCTGTCCCGAACCTACCTTTGTAACAGAGATTGTCCCGGCAGCCTCCAGCGTAGCTCGCTGGACAAGCAGAACAAGGAGCTCCATATTTGTATGGAGCATGACCCCACCAGTTACCCCTGGAAAAAAATGTGTTTCAAGATAAACAATATTAGAGGGTTTAGGTAAAAACATTTTTTTACAGAAGCCCTGAAATGCATACCAGCATTTTATTTTACTCTGTTTTACTGTGATACATTTCAGTTGTTTTCTCAAGATCTTCACATTATCTTATTATCTTGGAATAACAGTTTTGTTTAATCCATGAAGAGTTAATTTCTTACGATCTCATGAAAGAAATGAATTCGTTAAAGTTTAGAAAACAGTGTTGTTATCTCAAGATAATGTCACAAATAAGTCAGAACTTTTCCATCAGAGGTCAAACCATATAGCAGTAAAACTTTATTTGCCGTTGCTGACTCATTTTTTTTTACTTTAAAGTTTAACCCGGATGTTTCATATTTATTCATTCCTTTTTTTCCAGCACATGAGCCCTGCTCTTGCAAAATCTGGTGCTGGGGAGGTTCAGTCTACATATTTTGCAGTGTGGGGCCAAACTGTTGTATTGAGAGTGACAACTTGCGAGGGGCCTCGATTGGGCTAGCGGTTATGTTGCGCCCCATGTAAGGAGGTCATAGTCCACTCAGCGGGTAGCCTGGATTTTAATACTACAGTTCCTGCAACTACCTTCCTGCATGTCATTACCCACTCTCTCCCCAGTTTCTTACTTTATTCACTGCGCTGTTGATTTACTGCAAAAAGCTTGTTGTTTCATCATCGAAACAAAAAAAATGGATGGAATTTGGTGCAGATATGGGTGCCACTTCTGATCCCGCCCTAAGCTTTGTTGGCTCAAGCCACATCACTTTTAAGACATTAATTAAACTTGACAATGTTCACTGTGGAGTCACAGAACTGTTAACAGCAGTACGTCCTAAGACCTGTGAACAGCCTCTGATATGTAGATTCAATGAAATTCCTCTTTGAGCTCTGTTCATATTTTGTATTTTCTTTGTGGTGACTAAAGGTAGAATCTGATTATGAGCTTTATACCCTGAGGACTTTAGCCTGGTTCTGTTATATCGAGGGTGGGTTTTATTATGAGTCAAATCTTACGGTGGGGAGTAGTTGCAGACCAGATAGACAGCTTTGGCCCAGATCATTCCCCACACGTTCATGTTGTAACACACGTTGATGGCACAGCCGATGCGATTGCTTGTCGCCCACACCAACTGGAAATCAAATCAGAAAATAAAATGGAAATAAAGACGCTAAAGTCACCTTTTAAAGAGAGACATGAAGCTCTTACCTGAGTGTAGTGAGTACAAACTGGTCCTGAACATCTGAACGGGCAGTGTGGGTTACACTCCTGGGAGTAGGGGTAGCTGTAGTGCCTCACCTCATCATACCACGCCTGGACATGAAAGGTAGGGGGGCGGTCCCTGAGATTCAAGAAAAGCTGTTATACTCTTATTATTTTATTATAATGCAAACAAAAAATATGTGCAATCTCATCCAATGTAATTTTTAGGCAGCCTCAAAACACACCGCTGGGCGCTAACGCGTGTGCAATTCCATTTGCTTCTAAAAGAATGCGAGTGCTGGGTGTAAATATGAAAACTGTGTCTGTTGAAAAATAGGAACTACATCTGCCCTGCACGCCAAGATGCTTGGGCCAGGCGTACGATAGGGCCCATGTTCTTTAAAGCTTCATTTACTTTTTCCCACCTGCGTTCTGTAGGATCAATTTTCTTTTTCCTTTTAGCCCTCTTTTCCCTACCTGCCTGCACTAGCTTCACCAGCTGATTGTTTCCTGTATCTGTCTGCTGTGTGAGGTTGTAAAGGAAGCTTCCTGGTGTTGCTAAAGATGGTAATGATCAGAGGTGTTATAGTAAAACAGAAACATGAAAATAGTACGTACTTACTGAAGTACAGTGCTCAGTCCTTCATAAGATACAGATATTGATTTTAGGGTTTAAATTGTTATGGATTGAATGCATTAAGAATCACTGTTCACTGTACGATATCTTCATATAAAATATAGTTTAGCTGACAAAGTTCCCTCTAATTCTTTGTGCATACGCACCTGCCCCAGTGAGCTCCGAGGTTTTGGCCTATTTGTGTCAACATGTGGCTCGGTCCATGTTCCCATCGGCAGGTATGAGCCCAGTGCTCTGCACTCCTCTCTAACTCGTAATCCCAAACCTGGAGAGAGCACACACAAACAGAACAACATAAAAGATACTTTGTTTAAAGTGATTTGAGCTTCGGTCAGAGATTTACTTCCTGTTTCACCTGGGCGCCTTGTATTTGTATTTTGAATAAATGCAACGTGTACTTGCACGTAGGCTATATGAGCATAAGATAATAAGACCTAGAAAAAACTGTTTAAAATATAATCTATGTCTGATGATAGTGAAGAGGCTAATATTAGCTTTCCTCCTGCAGTTGCTAGCTGTCTCAACTCCACTGACTTATCTCTTGACTCCATCAGTGACCATTTCTGGAACCAGGGGTCTGAAATAGCCTCTGAATGTTGGCAACATATCCTTTAATATGCAGTTCAAATTGATGTGCAAGATGTGTTAAAAATCACAACAATATCAATCTTTGCTAAATGCTGCAGATCCATCCAGAAAAAATAAGTCTGTGATTACGATGTGGATATGGAGTCTGTCAGCAGAAACCCCAAGAACACCTTTTAATCATGTTGTAGAAACAAAATAAAAGTCACAATTCCAGAGAAAAGATTTGGCCCAGATGAAATTTTGTCTAACCGGAAGTAGCCCAGCAACTATGAGAGGGGTCTCTCTGATTGGTAGTGAACCAATCGGAGAGCCAACAAATGGTTAAATACAAACGCAGCTGTAGAAGCATCCGTTCAAACTTCACCAGTTTACAGGACCACCCATTGAACCGAAACACAGATCGTGTTTCAATTAGTTTTCAGGTTTCAACGTCCACTTCAATGGAACCGATCTGTCCCAGATATTTTGACGGACATGTCTCTATGCAGTTACAGTGACACATCAAACAGATGTTGAAGGCGTGGCAGCCATCCTGAATATGTGTATGCATAGTTTAAAGCATAGTTTAAAGTATAACTGATTGATTGGTGGATTTATATATCTATCCTTGGGAGGGCATTAATGAAGGTTGGTTCAGGTGAGAATCTAATGTTTTTTTTCCAGCTGTCTGCTCTCTGCTGTAGCATTTGGTCATATTACATCTCTCTTTAGCTCCAGGTTAAACTCAGGGAGCTTTTTTTCCAGAGCAGCTTTGCCTGTGACAGATGTTTGCAGACCTGTAACTCCACTCTGGATTGCTCTCATGATTGAAGTGGGCTAAGTGGCCACTTACCGAAGTTGCGTAATTGCTACTCATTACGTTTTTTCAGATATCTCGTCATCCTCCCTGAAGAAGTCTAAACGACCATGAATATCACTGAAACTAATCTGTAAAGTAAGCTCTCATACTCCAAGCATAGTGAACCTTAAAGATGAACCTGCGCTCCTTGCTGTTAAGCGCCGTGGCTGAAGGCATTCCTCTAGCAAATTTAACACAGTATAGTCAAAACTAGGCCTCTCCTATTAAACACACACGTCCACTCTCTTACACACAGACACATACATGAGAGAGGAGGGAGACAGAGAGGTATCACTGACACCACATCGACTTACAGCTTTGTGCTACTATCCAATGTGGTTGTTTCATAGCTTGTTTCCAGTAAGTGTTGGTCTCATAAAACAAGCAGAGGGAGAAACATGAGCGAAACAGGGAGCATCGATTCTTCTCTAATGTAAAAACTCAGCTTGTACCTTTAAACCCATTTCCACACCTCTTGATTTGAACCAAGAAGAACAAACAGACCACGATTGTAGGTTGGAGCTATTTAAACTTTGCAGCAAAGGTAATTTGGAGTTGACTTTGTTGGGGATGGAGAAGAAAAAGCGCAGTGTGCACTGCTGTTGGCATTCTGTTTGGTTGCATTATGGCTATCACACGTCAAAACTAATAGGATAATGCTCCAGTGTGGGGTTGTAACTGCTCTGATTGACCACCATAATAAGTTCCATATGTTGGGTAAGACCAACACACTGTGCCCACTGTTGCCCACTCACTGTGGTGCTGCTTACTGTTCAGGCCTGACTGAGAAAGTGATATTTTCACTCTTTACTTCTTTGGCTATAATCCAGATGTGGCCTCGGATATAAACACTGCAGTGATTTTTTTTGCTCCTGCCTGGTTGCCATGTGATACTGAATATTTCCATGATCACAACTTTATGTTGTTTTTGTTAGAATACTTGTCATTCCAATTTAGGTAATTTTATATATTAAACTTTAAGATCAAGATTGTTCTCTCAGCAGTATAAATGAATGGAAAACATTTAAATTATTTTTTATTGCCTTTACTAACCTTAACCTTCAGACCATCAACAGCACTATGAAAGCATAAGGCAAAGAGCTACACTGGTGGGAGTATAGGTCGTCGTGTCCACCAAGCGTTTTTATCTGAGCGCCAGTGGCTTTTTCAATTGTTTTCAATGAGGAGAGAGCGTTCGCAGCAGCAGGTGGCCGCCTTTTAGAAAAAGCGCAGTGCCCAGCGTCTTTTCTTCCGAGCACTCAAGACGAAAATCTTTAAACTTTTCAGAAAGCCGCTGTTGACGTCACCGGCGCTCTTTTCCAAATGTATGATATTCCCTGTCGTTTTGCCGTGTCTTGTTCCCACATCCTCTTTGCTTCATGTCTGACAGGGTTAAAAAACGATCTCAAACATAAAACATGCAGTAAACAGTAACGGAGCAGGGTCGGTCATACAGCAGCATTTGTCAACAGACTGTTGCCATAGAGACAGGACGGTCGGCAGCGCTTTTCTTCTCAGCGCACAAACGCATCATGCAAACACTCCTGAGCGCACAGCCAGCGCTTTTCTTTTGCATCCTCTCTCCTCGACCAACCACGATTCCTCAAATACCCTGTAGGAAATGAAGATCGAGGAGAGGGGAGGCCTCTGGAAGAGCTCATCTCGAAAGTCTTCTGACCAAATACGCAACATGATTGGTGTGGCGAAATGCCACACAACCCATCCTTTGAATGGGACAGACTTTGACACGCTACTTTGACTTAATCAGTGTTCGAATGCACCTTCTGAAAGATTGCAGCCCCTGATTGGGACAGAGCCAATAATGACAGTTTTTGCCTTTATGTCAATGCTACGTGTGATTGGATTGTATGCTCAGTAACAATGAGGGACTAGAAAATATCATATTGGTGAGCACAGTATGAAGAGTAAGAAGCTGCTTGAACATGATCGCACCGGCTGGCAATGGTTGCTTGATAAAGACATTATTACCTCACATGCTCGAGGGGAAATTTTCCTGCTCTGTTTTCACATCAGCTCATCTTTTACGAGGGGGCATGCAGAAAAATAATCTAGTTAAAGTCAGGGTAAAAAATGTGTCTGTATGTGTTCACGCATGGACCTCGTCCAAAAAATTTCAGGAAATCTTCAGAAGTTTTGTGCATGTGTGAATACACCACAAGTGTGACACCATATACACCTCTGAAGAATTCTACATTATAGAAGCAACGTTTTTATCAGGCCCTTGAGTGTGACTACTTGAAGGATGTAAAATGACTTCTGCATTTCAACCTGTTCAGACTTTGTAAAAGAATTAGTTTGAAGCATACTGAAACCTCAACCCTGCTTATAGGCGAACTTGCCCACCTGCACGGCCCATCTGTCACTATTTTCACAGGTTATAATGAGACTGAGGTTCAGTGCAAAACTTTGTCATTAAAAAAACAATCTACGGCGGAAACTAATGATGTCTGCCAGCTCATTATTGTCCCCCGAGTTCTTATCATTCTTCACGCTCAATTATCCAGCACAGAGGAAGATGGACTGCCCGCCAGGCTTTGGAGAGAGGTCACAGAAAGATCTACAAATCTCCTTTTGCATTCCTAAAAGCATTAAGTACCCAAAATACAGAAAAAGGACCACCTCTATACGAGCAGATAGGTAAAAGAAATGCATTTTTTCAGTTCAAATTATGCATCTACAATGTAGAAAGTGCTTCGTCTTCTTCTCTACATTTCTTGTGCAAAAAGTGAAACGCTTTCATTTCAGACACAACAGTTGCTCAAAGGCCTTTGCTGAATGGCTTTTGTATGAAGACCTGCAATGAAGTGTAGCCCCTTTGGCCTCGAAATCCTGCAATCTGAAAACCAAATACTTAGTCCCGACCTTCCCACATCATTATCATCAGTAATAGTATCCCTTGCTAAAGAAACACTGGATTAGTGTACATAACACACCACTGCTCCCCTCACATCAAACAGCCAGGCCTGACATGTTTGAAATAGATTCACTGCTGTGGCACCCAAAATGAGATGTGTGGAGGATCAAATAAAAGACAACATCAGCCAACCCCCTCCCCCCGGTCAGGGTTTTTGAGTGAGCTGCGATGGATGGGGAGAGAGGAGGCAAAGGGAATGAGTGAAAGGGTGAAGAAAAGCCTGAGGGAGAGCCTGTGAGGCTGAAGATGAAGAAGGCAAAGCAGGGGAAACGAGTCTACAGGAGGAGAAATGGAGGAGATAGCAGGGCAGGAAGAGAGGGAGGGAGGGAAGGAGGGTTGAAGTAGAGTGGAGGACAACACTGCGGGGGTTAAAGCTGGATAAGAGCCAGGGTCAGTGAGGGCGGGCATGCAGGAGCAGGAGCTGGAGCTGGCCAGTTTGGGGATTTGGCTTGCAGATGTCGTTCCCACTGTTTTTCTTTCTTTACAACTCTGCTGTCTTTAGCTGACAGAGCAAAACTGGCAGAGTCAGGAAGGTCACCAGCTCTCAGACCTGGTGGCATGGGCGTAGTAGTGGGGCGTAAAGTCGGACTGACTATGAAGGGCCCAAAAGGAAGAAGGGACCCTTGATGGGCAGGAATAATGTAGATTTTGTTTGCATTTTTTACTCTTTCTTTTAAACTTTGAGACGATACTTGTAGAAATCAAAGTTGTGAATCAGTACCTGTTTCGATACCACGGAAATAAAATATGAAGTCCTAGGCGCTCAATATTGGGTCATTTCTTGTGTTCAATAACTGAAAGTTGCCAGGAAACACCTGCACAGAGTCTACATGTCTCAAATACAGGACTGAAACGTTGCCAATGTACTTGTGCAATTTAGACAGAGTGAAACTGAATGTTGAATTGATTCCTCTCCTACAATAGACTTTTTTTTTAAACCTTCTGTAGTTTTTTGACACTTTCAATCATGAAAAATAAACTAAGCAGAAAGTCTCCATAACGTAGCATAATATGATAACCACACCTAATAATGAATTCTTGAAAACATGGAACCTAGAAGTATTGAAGTAGGATATTGAAAATTAAACAACCTTCATTTAAAGCTTTATTGGTTAATGTCATCCTGGCGACCCTGCTGAATAATGTTATCTGAGTCTTTTGCTGATTTGTATTTGTTAGCTTATTTGCTGGGGGAGGGGGTTCTCAGGATGGAAAGCTTCCTGTAGTTTGCCACAATCACCCTATCAACAAGAGAGTGGAGACGAACTTACTGGTGAATTCAAAAACTCTCAATAATTACATGCATAAAGTCTTTACTCGTGCACCGGTCACAGGACATAAACGTTACCAACCCCTCCCAATTGTTTGCGGTGAATTTTCCTGAATATATCCAACTGCGTTCACACATCAGATCAAACTGAAAAAAGAGAGATGTCAGAAACATTCCATGTAAAAGTCGGAAGTTTTCAAGGGTCGAAATGTTTTACTCGGTTTGGTGCAATATGTGAAAGCCCTATGAGTCTGATTTAGGGCATACTTGTGCGTTGATTGTGCACAGATCCTACAGACACTACAGAGCGCTTTGTTCATCATTGTACAAAAAAGAAGCCTTGGAAAAAGCTCAGTGGTAAACTCCCCCAGCTAGCATCTTGTCGCTCGGAGTTTGATTTGGTGTCAATGAGGCTTTACACTTGGATGTGTAGATTAACTGCAGAATTTATATCGGACTTCAGTCACTCATGTAGAGTTAGTTGAAGGCAGGAAATAAACGTTCCAGTAACGCTTCGTCTGCAATGTTTATTGATGGAGGCAGAATGATGCGGCAAAGAAGTCGTTTAGCCTTTGAGCGGGCAATAAAGGTACAGACACATAACAGGCTGCAGGCTCGTTTGGCTACAGAGCCTTCATTTACTATGTTTGATCAAGTTTGATTCAATGGGGTCTAAGAAAAGTTTAATGCAAAATCATCACTTTAATTCTCCAAGAATATAATTTCTTTCTGATTTTATCAATGACTCTACTTCTTTAACTTACAGGCCCATTACGATTACATTGAGATTCATCTGCAGCAAAGACAGAAGTGTCCTCAACACCTACCATGTACTCCATGTTGGAGGCAGGAGGGTGGACCTCACCCCGCAGCTTGTTGTGCAGGTTCAGGATCAGGTGCATGTCTCCTTCACTGATGGCCCTCCTCCCTCTCGACCTGGCCCTCCACCACTCCTCGTCCTTGTCCTTGTACTTGTCCAGGATGGACTCGAGTTGTGTGGAGTTGTTGAGGACCACGGCCAGGACCGTCTGAGTCAAACACAGGAACAAGCTCGCCACTCTAACCCAGCTCGGGAAAAGAAGAGACCTCTTCATGACGGGGAAAGTACTGCTGCTTAATGAGGAGTAGGCCTACTTTCTGTTGTCTGCAAAAAAAAGACAAATCAAATATAAGGAGTATATTTATAAAAGGGTAGAATTAATGATTTTAAGGACACAAATATGTTTCAATGCAGCTTTTGCATTGGCCATCTTAAAAAAAAAAAAAACAGTACACGAACTCTGCGCCTGGTATTTAAATAGGCCTAAGTGAACAATCATTTTCTCTCTTCACGTCATCATCTCTATAGGAGCCCAAAGTTACCTTGAATCTGTCCTCTGTCTCTGTTTAATAATGCAGTAATTATAGGGAACTTCCCTTCAAACAGTAAAGCTAATACAGCTTTCAGCGGTCTGAGTGCATCTGCAGGTCACTGCATCACAACGCACAGAAGGACCAGTGTAAACGGACTATTCACACGTTGTGTTAGAGCGCACGAGATTTAGCGCGCATGCGTGAAGTACTCTGCGCTATCATGCTTTGCAGGAAGAGTTTCAGCATTACACTAACAAAATTGTATGAAATGAAATCACACTCGTTTTCTTTTACTAATGCATTCAAGAAAAAAAAAATCGTTTTCTTTAAAGACTTCTTCTAATGAATGAGTGCATAGAATAATAACTCCATCATAGGATCATTTAAATATAGGAGATAGATTTTAAGTTAGGACGCACACAGATTCTTAATTTTATCACAGTAATTATTACTGAGTATAAAGAAAAATGCAATTGTACCTTTCAATTCCGCTTCACCGATCAAAATACCTCTCGAGTAAAAATATTCCGTTTTTCAAATTAATGCAGAGTGAGAGCTTTCCAATCCACACAGTCTCTAATAACATCCATCACACACAATGTGTGCAGGCACTCGGTTTTCTTCCAGGCAGTACATCCACGCTGGGACTGTCAGAGAGAGAGAGAAAAAAAACTGAGAGCTCAGAAATGTCTCTATGTACCTGTTGAATTCCTCAGCTCGCTCTGTGCGCGTCAGGCTGCAAGGGTCCGCAGCTCATTTGGCGCTTATATGCCAAATTTGCGCTTAGCAACGCGCAACGCACAGGACCACGCCTCCACAAACCTTCTTTCTTCCCCTTACCGCACCCCCGTTAGACACACACACACACACACACACACACACACACACACACACACACACACACACACACACACACACACACACACACACAAACGCACACACGCAGGCCGACAGGGATCAGTTGGAACTCCAGGGTTGATCTATTTGAGGAGGCATCTGATCGCACTAGAAGTGACGTGAGGGTAAACTTGTGGATGTTATGAGAGCAGCCCACTCAAATATGACACATTTTGCTTACTTTTTGCAGGTTTGCTGTTTAACAGGAAGACACAGCAGAAAATAGGCTTCCGTTTTTATTTCTAGGGTACTGTGAGGCCATATAAGGCTGACTAATGAGAAAATGAATTTTGAAGCCTCAGTTGTGATTTTGCAGCTCCTTTGTCTCTTCTTTCCACAAATGCATCAAACATCCCAGTTCATGAGTATCTGTCACTGGCATATGACTCTTCTTGTGGCATGAACTCTACTTGTATCACATCTGGCTCACTTACCATGTGTGAGAACATAGCAGCAAGCGGTGCGAGGAGCCAGCAGGGTGGGCACTATTCCCCTGTGACTCGACCACAAAGCACCGATTCATCTGCCTTTACATACACTAGAATATTTGTCAAACTTTGTGGCCTGTGTGTATGTGTGCTCGCTCTAACATGCTCTGTTCAGACTGCTCTTCAGCACATAGAAGTCTGTTTCTTGAAATAAGTCATTGATATACAAACTCAAGGTCAAACTAGGAGGGCATATATCAAACAAAGCAGATAAAATCCCTGCAAACAGTCTGCACAGGCTGTTTTAAGATAAGACATCCTGATGAGAATAAGATACATGACACAGAGGCTGGAATCATAGTGATGTAAAGGTTAATACAGAGATGAAACGTTTCAGGCAGGATACCTCGAGTCCAGCCTTTACCAAAATAAAAACTTTCTCTTGCTTTTATTTAATTTCCTTTAGATAAACAACATATCTTGTTTTTGGAGGCTTCGGTGATGACCTCAAAAAGCTAAAGAAATAACAACATAACATAAAACATTTTCCATTCACGCTGGAAAAATGACATGAAAGGAATAATTGAACATGTTTCAACCAACACACTCATTTTTACATTTTTATCCGACATACTTCTACAAGTCTTTATACTTTTACAAAATGGGAGCTTCCCATTGACGGAGATCAAATGAAGATTGACTTCATGGTATACTCATTTTTTCCCTTGCATATGTGAGGATCATCTCCAGTGTTGCCTGTTAACAAGAGATAAGCTCCGACTCCTATCTCTTCATATAGTGGACAGAACTTAAAAGAAAGCAGCCTCCCTGCATGCCTTAGATGAGTTACCTGGATGGCTCCAAACTAAGACTTCATGAGGAGACATCACTGCTAATGTTGTCAAAAATGCTGAGTCATGGAATGACAGGAATATTTTCTGTTATTAAATGGACAAAACAAGTATGAACCATGGGATACTTCACAAGTATACGTGGCAGAAAAGTGGCAGGCCAAAGATGGATGATGAACTCTGCAGTCATAACTCCAGATCTGAAGTCTGTCTTGGACACTTGAGTAAAGAGAAATGCAGAGCTGTCAACTGATGACCACCTATGGTAAGTTGGATCAGGTGATTGGGGAAGCTGCTATCCCTAATCAGGCTCAACGTGCAGTAGAGGTGAAATGGGTTCCTGCTCAGAGGATCCTCAACTTCTACCTTTGTAGAAACTTTTTCTGCTTTAAAGGGGAGGTTCAGGCCGTACAGACATTGGGAGGGTCGCCACCTTCAGGTCTGCAAATTCTTATTTTAGTTCCAGTTGTTTTACACAAAAATACAAAAAAATAAATGTTTCTAAAACATTTTATTAAAGATTAATATTCTGGGTATAAAAGCCTCACTGGTTCGGTCCACAGACTGTTTTAAAGTTTCAATCTTGATCATATTTGATATACTATGTTTTTCATTTGTTGATTTGGTATTAGTAATGAGTTCTTTAGTGATACATTATCAGAACAGCCTTATCTGCAGAAAGTTATTCCAGTTAGACACAGTTTTTTTATTATAATTAATAAGTGTTACGTTGGCTGTAAACAATTATATTTATAAAAAGTGTTGATTTTAACAAGACATAGTCAGCCACTATATTCACATGGCAGCCATTTTCCTCTGAATCGATGCTAATGTGTTAGCCGTCTCACAGCTGTGTGCTGTATGGGCTATCCCTAAAATTTGATATCTGACAAGTTCTTCGCATGTTCTTCGCATGTATATTGCTATATTGATATTTTTATGAGATGATGGTGGGATAGAAAATAGAGTAAAACATTGTCATCCAGCATGTGTGCAGTTTGTGGACAGACTCTTGTTTCTGAGGACGGTCAGCAGGAAGAGTCCACAGCAGTACACCAGACTCTTCACTGTCAGCACTGTGTAGAGCAACAAGAGCAGCTTCACCTTGTATGGAGACGGGACAGAGGGATCCGCTGCAGGTGATGGAACAGAAAAAGAATAAAATCATCAACGTCAGTCCTCTGTTTTTCTTTTTTTTTATCACTAAATGAAGATGAATCTACGCTGCACAAAGTCACCAGTCAAAGTTTTTTTTCTTGTTAGAAAAAAAACATGGAAGTGTCTCAAGTTTTACATTACTACTAACTACCATGTGCACATACATGCTTCCATTATGCCATATCACCTGACATCACAACATTTCATTTCATAATGATTCTGATGACATCAAATTATGTATATCCAATTATAAAACCATCCAAATGTTATAAACAAAGCTACAAAGCTGATGAATCAATGTGAGACGCTTTATGTCACAAAACTTCCACCAATTCAATTCTGACAAAAGTGATATCTGTCGTTTTGCTTTTATTTCGTTATGTCTAGATTATTGTAATGCACTTGTTTACCTGCTTCAGTACACGAGCCACAAACAAACTTCAGATCTCTGCAACCAGACTTCTCATAAAGACAAAGCAAACCTGACACATCACCTCTGTTTAAGCTTCACTTCACTGATTACCTGTTTCTTTATTCATTTTTAAATTTGACTCATTCCCTAAAAGGCTTTACGTGGCCTGGCACTAGAATACACCAGCAGATTTTTTTAACGCCTTGCTGCCCCAAGAAGTCCTCTTAGATCGGCCACATGAGACCTGCTCATCATATCAAAGTCAAGGTCGAGGTCAAAGGTTAATCAAGCTTTTGCTGTGATGGCTCCTCAGCTCTGAAACAGACTCCCACTCAGGGAGCAGACTCTGTTTCTGCTTTTAAATCCTGTTTTAAGACACAGTTTTATAGACTCACCTTTTTAGCCAACAGCTTATTTTATAAGAGCCCTGGAGTACATTTTTTAACTGAACTAAAATAATCTTTTAACTGTATATTTACATTTTGATGTTTTGTGATTTTATTTTCCAATTGTGATGTTTTTCTCCACTTATCTCTGGAAAGCCCTTTAATGCTCTCGTCTTCAAAGTGTTATATAAATAAAGTGTTGTTACCTAAATGCAAGATAACACTGCTGCTTTAGTGATAATAGTCTGATTAGATCAAATTCTCTACAAACGATGGCACTGGATAACAAGCATCTGCTGCCCCCTTGTGGATAAAAAGAGACTTCAAGAAACATAAAGCCTGAAAGAAAACAACCATCAGGTGTCCATCACTGAGCAATCTTCAAAGATTTAGAAAGGATAGACACATTTACTTTTACTACATTTACTTTATTACTTTTATTAAGTTGTAATTGTTTGAATACTTCTTCTGTCTGGCTGTTGGACCCATGACCTTTACACGTGCTGCTGCACAGTGACACAAAATAAACTTCTTTTAACAGCCACCTAAAAACATCTCTTATTTAAAGAGAAATCTGTGACAGGGAGAAAATGTATACGATGTAAGTATTGGGCCTTTTAAAAAGCTCTGTGCATCTTAAAGAGGCCAAAATCCAATGTCTGGTTGCCGTGATCTTTAGGTCCTCAGACGGAGCTGTGTTAAAAACAGACATGATTCTGTTTAGGACATCACTGTACTACAAAGACAGTTAGACAAACCTTCATCGTACAGGCCTCTGAGGTCCAGTGGAAATGGGCTGTCAGGTTCACACTTGTAATGCTGATTTTGGTCACAAGGTGGAAGCAATTAAATATTTATAAATGTTGGCGCGTCAAGTGCATCTTGGTCCTTCTTCCTGCTTAAACAACAAACACTGTGGAGCGCTGTTTTACTCTTAGATGATTGGTTTATATACATCCTGTTAAATTTCAAGAATAAAAACAGAAAAAAAATGATATCTGTATTTATGAGCTGTATTAAGAGCTCATGTTGTTGTATCAGGTGTGTGTGTGTGTGTGTGTGTGTGTGTGTGTGCTGTTATGGGGCTATAACTGCAGGTTGTGTAAGGTCTGATATGAACCAAGTAATGAAATTAAAAAGGCAAACAAAGAAAAGAAACCTCAACACATTAATTCAGGTTTATTTAAAATATACAAAGATTCAAATATTTTGCATTGGGTCTGTAGCATACAGTGTTTGTACAGAAGTAAGCAAACAACAAGACTGAGACGAAGTATATCCAAAAATATTGTCTTCACCTTCAATCAAACACTTTTGGATTGAACTTGATATTCTGACTGAAAAACATTGGAAAACTTTGGTTTCGTTTTACATCTTGGTTGATTTGAGAAGAAGACATGACAGAAGCTCAGGATTACTCTACATCAGGGGTCCCCAACCATCGGGGCTCGGGCCGTTACCGTTACCTCAGAAATATGACAGCTGCTGTCTGGTCCATGATGGGTACCTCTGGTTCTACATCACATCAGTCAACTTCTTCTCTTCTTGAACACACTTTTAAACTGTTAGCATGTCAGTGTGCCTGCAGCTTGCTGTAGATCATGTCTTAGCTGGCTGCTGCAGTCTGACCCTCATAGATGGTAGAGTAAATATGGTACAAAGACCGCTGGGAAAAGACAGAAACCAACTTGATCATCTGGTATGTCTGGAAAAATGTGATTATTGTTCTTCCTGTCAGACTCATTTTAATTGTCTTTACTTTTCCTTTTTTAAGGGGTGTACTGATTTAAGGGGAGACGAGTCAACTACCAGAGATGGAGGATGATGTAATAAAGTAAACTTAGAAACAGGATTGGGAAAGATGGAGTTTTTTAGATGCATTAACTCAATAAAATGTTATTTGTTTAGCACAATTCATACAAAATTAAACTCAATATGCTTGACAGAAGAGAAACAAAAACAAACACAATACAATACGGTTGATTTCCAGGTCATTGATCACATAGTGGCAGTTTCAGTGCTGCGGTTTGCTCTGTAACCTGATTGGTACAGATCACACAGACTGTGAATGGATGGTAACCGTAATTGTTTGTAGAATTTGACTGAAGGTTGGAGATTGGTCTGTAGTTGGTAATGATTGATGGGTCAGGTTTGTTGTTTTTTTTAGTAAAGGAGTAACTGTAGCAGGTTTTAGAGAAGTGGGGAAAACCATTTCTGAAGAGAATCATTTACAACATGATGTAAGTCATGTAACAGGCTGTGAGGGACACATTTACACAGTTTTGTGGGAATAGGGTCAAGAGGAGAGGTAGAGGTAGGTACTGTACAGTACTAACTTGGACACATGTGGGCTGATGAGAGGAGCCTGATAGGGTGGAATTGCTGTTACATGATTTCAAAGTGTAAGTTCTTAAGCTCAAGATTTTATTTTATTTTTTTATTTAGTTTGCAACTAGCGACCTCATTACATTTATTCTTAGAGAGTAATTCCTCAGAATTTGACCTATAAGGATTTAATAGTTTACTAACTGTGGAGAAGAGATAGTGAGTATTATTTGTATAGTAATTTATCATTTTTGAGATGTGTTGCTGTTTTGACATTTTCAGTTATTTTTTTCTGACAGGTCAGTATACTTTTTCTAGATTTAAAAATATATCTGAAGCTTTTAATCTCACCATTTTTGTTCAGCCTTTCAGCGAGATTTTGAGTATCCTCACTTGTTCTCCATTCCTCCAAGGAGTCTTTGTTTTTTTCTTTAATAGTAGACTTTTCTAGTCTTCTGACTACTCAAAGCGCTTTTTACACCTCAGGTCACATCTATTCATTCACACACTGATGACAGAGGTCGTTATGTGAAGTGATCATCAGAAGTGACTAATCCCATTCATACACATGCATACGGCAGCAACAAAGCAGTGGGAGAAACTTGGGGTAAGTGTCTTGCCCTTGCCCACATGTGGCCGCAGGAGCTGGGGTTCAAACCCCCGACTGTCCGGTTGAGAGACGACTCGATCACTGATCCACAGCCGTGTTGTTTTATTGGCTTTTGACGGGAGCAGTGCTGCCAATGATTTGACTTACAACAGAGTTAAATTGGCCCTCATCTCATCACATGATGACATGATTATGGTTCATGTATTAATATACATATCAGTGGTATTGTCATTAATAGAACGCATATTTGAAATGATAACCACATTGTCATGTCTTGGTTTGCAGGTCATATTAAAAAAGATGCAGAAGTGATCTGAATTGCAACATCGAGAAAAGCAGTAACCGTTATTACTTTACTGTGTCCTTTAAATAGAATCAGGGCGATGGTGTGACCTTATTTTCGTGTGGGCCCCTTAAACCGCTGTGAGAACTCAAATGCTTCTAGCACATTTAATAACAGTTTTGTGTTCAGATTATTGATGTGAATACAAAGTCACCAGAAATTACAACACAGTCATAGGTAATGGAAACTTTTGAATGCATCAATAAAATATGTTCTTAGTTTAGGAGGGTGATACGAGAAACATTATGGGAACTACAGCTTAGACAACCACCATGGGCGGTTCTGGGCAGGGGCCAACAGGGGCCAGTGCCCCTGTGACACTGAGCTTGGTCCCCCATGTGGCCACCCCTCCAAAAGGAAGAGCCCCCCTAATAACACATACACAGTATTTAACTCAACAACCGTACTCACAATCTACTGTGATATTAACGGAAACAAATGTAAATTATGGTATTTAATGATGTGCACTATTATTTAGCATAATATATATATATATATAAAAAAGCGATTATCATTTTTCACCTTGGTTTAATGTTCCCCTCTAACAAAACAACTGGCCCCAGTTTGGCCCCCTCAGTAAAAGTGGTCTATAACTGCCACTGACAACCACAGCTAAGAATTGAAGGTTGTGAAACCACCAAGACAACTTTCACACTTTATGTTATTAAGAAATGCACCTCACCTCACCTCCAGCTCACGTTCAGAAGTGCTATGAGATATGAGATATGAGATATGAGAGTGTTCTCACCGACACTGTCTCCATGTCTCAGCGCTGTGGTCTACCACACTTGTCTTTTACTCAGTTTGAGCTGCAGCTCTTTGTGGTTATTTATGCGCAAGCTGACATTTACCACAGAAGTTATTTTAATAGGCTAGCTGTGAACCATGTGAACTCAACAGTTGCCATTTTTTTCGAGGTCTCCTCAGCGGAGTCTTCAATCATGCTTCACCAAAACCTTTACAGCTGGGTGCATGTTAGAGCAGCCATTCAAACCTGACCCCTTTTCCTGACATCAATGTTTTCTGATGTCTTCTCCAAATGCACCTTCAGTAAATTAAACACTATTTAATTCATTATACCCGAAATGCATTACAATTTAGTTTTAAATGTGTCTGTCTGAAGTAGTAGCTCTTACAAGTACATATTCAAAGTAGATTTTTAACCCTTCAATAGGGATTAAAGGGACAGCTGTGTCTCAGTGGTAGAGTCGGTCTCTCAACCAGGAGGTCAAGGGTTTGATCCCCAGCTCCTGCAGCCACACGTCCAATCTGTCCTTGGGCAAGACACTTAACCCCAAGTTGCTTCTGCTGTTAATACTTGTTTGTAAAAGGGATCTTGAATAAATACAATGTCATACCTGTGGTTGTGATGAGTGATGGCATTCTCTGGGTCCTTCTGGACTCTTTCTCTACAATACCTGCAGCAGAAGAGGTTAGAGTGATGTTAATGTCAATCTACATGACAACAAGCATTGCTTCAGCTGCTTCGTCAGCAGCATATGAATTTGTATGAATGGATTAGTTCATACTGATGGACACTTGACATTGCAACCTCTACCATCAGTGTGTGAATGTGTAAGCGTGACCTGCAGTTTAAAAGTGCTTTGAGTAGTCAGAAGACTAGGAAAGTGCTATACAAGCTCAAGTACATTTACCATTTTGCAATTGCTACTTTTAGAGCTTACAAATATTTCACTACAAAAGAAAAACTGAAAGAGTAAAGTTTAAAAGTTTGATATTTCAGTCTTCTACATAACAGAAGATTCTGACTTCATTTGACTCACCAGCTCTTCTTTTCTTCCAAAGAATAACATTAACAATCACTGTGATGACCACAGTAGATCCACAAACAGCGAAAACCCAGACAAACGTCCAATTCCACAATTCTTTAGTATCCGGAGGACTTACAGTCGGACCTTCACAGCCAAAACAGTTTTACAACAAGAAAAAGAGAACAATTTGAGTATATCATGCATTGATATTAATATTGGTCTAGCTTTCATTTAATTCCCAGGTGCTGTCTTATTTGAGGCCGCAGTAATACCTGTATCTTAAAAGCACACAAGCACAAAAACATTCAAACGTACCATTATCTTTGAACATAAGTGAAGAAGCATTGACTCTGTAAGTGTCTGACTTTTAACAAGGAATGTTTTTTATTAACCCAGAGTGTTTTGGGCAAAAAGTGGAAAAGACAAAAATCCCAGATGGTTAATGTCCCTCTGTGTACACGCTCAGTCATAAATGCCCAGATTTACAGTCACTCTGCTGTTGAAACATCACTATTGTATTGTACATGATGTTGTAGGGCAGGTGACAGCTAGGAAAGACTGGCGGACAACTTGGAAAGACCAGTTGACAGCAGGACAGACTGCAGCAGGAGTGGGCGGCTAGTCACCCTACCCACTTGCAACCTGGAAGCCCCAGGATGCACCAAGCAGAACAAAATAAAACAACCTGAAGGCCTTCCGAGAGAAGATGGGCCTACCAGGACGGAACAAGAGGTAACGACAGGAACAGAAAACAACAATGAGAAAATCCTCCAGAAGTGTATTTGCGGTTGGGAGAAGGTGACATCATGTAGGGGATTACACATCCATCAGGGGTAGATGAAAGGCAGACAGACCAACGACCTCGCATTGTGCAAGCAGTTCAGACGATAGGGACCCAAAGCTGGGATTGCAACCCAATGGTGCTGGAATGTGGGAAGTAGCAGAAAGAGGTCCTGTGATGGAGAAGGTAAACAACATAGATGAGGACACAGGCCTACCAGTGGCACGCCCCACTAGTCTGCAGTATTAATAGTTTGCTAGTAATAGCAAAGCAACCAGGGAGACACATCAAGATCAAGTGGCCAAAAGCGAAGGATTTTGGCCACTTGAAGGCCAAGGCAGAAACTCGATGCAGACTTGAGCCACCTGCTGGAGCTGTCCTTGAGAGGAGGAGTCAAAAGCAGGCTTAACATCTTCAGCAAGATCATCCATAAGGAGTGCAGAGTGAAGTTTGGGGAAATCAGGAGGAAGCAGCCCACAGCCCCGAGAATGGGAAGGATAGAGAGGGACATCGAACAACTTGTCAGAACCAACTCAGCCAGAACTGGAGGAAAGCTGCACCCAATGAAAAAGTCGGCCTGAAGGAGCTGTGGGACGAGATCAAACAGAAGCTTGCCCAGCTGCACAGGGCCGAGAGGATCAGAAGGAGGAGGAAGAAGAGAGAGAAGAAGAGAGTGGTAAGCTAGACGCCACCAAGGAGGAGGTGGAGCAGTACATGAAGAGCCAGTACAGTGATAGCAGACAAGCTACACCTCTCGACTCCCCAGGACATGTGCTATGCCCAGCTCCATCAACCTTGCCATTTGATACCTCCCCACCTAAACTGCATGAGGTGGAAGAGGTTATCAAAAACTCAAGGTCAGCGTCAGCCCCTGGACAGAACAGGATCCCTTACAAGCTGTATAAGAACTGTCCCCAGGTAGTGAAAGTGCTGTGGAAGCATATGAAAACAGCTTGTATTCCATTATAGTGGCAACAAGCAATCGGTGTCTTCATCCCCAAAGATCAGAACTCCCATACCATCGACCAGTTCAGTCCGATTTTCTTTGCTGTTTTTGGGACCAAATCCAGCGTGCGAAGAGAGAGAAGAGCAACCTGCAAGTGATGTGGTTAGACCTTGCCAATGCGTACAGCTCAGTGACACACAAGCTGATAGACTTTACTTTGGAATTCTTCCATATCCCAGATTGTGTCAAGAATATCCTAGCCAGATACTCAAGCAACCTGCACATGGGCTTCACCCTGGAAGGCTACACATCAGGATGGCAACAGCTGGAATTGTCATGGGATGCGCAATCTCCCCAATCTTGTAGCCTTTGAGATAATCCTCTGGTAGAGGATGCCTTTTGACAATATTCCAACTCTTTAAATCAGACTGCTTGAACCAATTTGTTTCTTTCTGATTATCACAAAATAATAAATAATATTGACAACACTTGTATTACTCACTTTGTATGCTGATGGAGACTGTGTCACTGTGTGGAGATAGAAAATTTCTGTCTCCAATCTGAACAGCGTAAAAACATTTCACTTTGACCTCAGCAGATGAACTCTGATGATCCATCTTCAGCAGTTCACTTCCTGTCAGTGTCTGCAGACAGGAAAATATCTTCACAGTTCCTCCACTTAAAGTTTGGTAATAACACTGAGACACAGATGATGGAGTCTGACAGTTCAGTGTGACTGAGTCTGTCTCTGTGATCACCGCTGGATTCACTGTAAGTTTAGGTGGAAGACGAGCTGAAAATATAAACCATGAATATGTTTTATCAAACTCAAACATAAGCTGCATATAAATGTTTAAATTCTTCAGTAGTGCAGCGATCACAGCACAGTTAGACATGAACCATGAGAGATCACAGACTGACCTTCTGTTTGAATCCCATTAAAGACATCTGTTTAAAAAACACAGTGAAAGTAAGGTGACTACACATAATAATAACTCCAAGAGTTCACACATTTAAACTCCTCCAACTATTCATTTATTTTAATCAAAAGTAGAATTATTAACTGAAACAAAAATATATTTTATTTGTCACAACTGGCAGAACACAAAACACAATATCACCGACTCAAAGCTTAATCACTGATATGATGATATCTGACATGACACATTAACGTCATGTTTCAATCTGCAGAGCTTTATAATAGTCCACAATAATACTGAATAAATCAATAAAGGTTTTACTTACACATGAAGAAGACAAACAGCAGACGTCCGGCCATGATGAAGCTGAACACTGAGACTGTACAGAGGATACGTGTGTGTCTCACTGTATGGACTTTGTGGTTAATGAGACCAGGTTCTTAAATTAGATACATGAGAACGACAGCTATCAGAAATGAAACCCACTGACAGACAAACCACAGCTTAATATTTAAAGAACCATTTTTAAAAATTGAATATCCCACATTGGAAACTAACATCTGTAGAAAGATGACATAGTGTATGTAGGTGAAACATATGCCTACAGTACACTTCACTAACACACTGAGCTTGTTCATAGTCTGCTCTCACTAAAGACAAAGTTTGTTTCATTTTTTCTTCATTGTTAAAACAGTTTGTTCACACATTTGCCTCCTCGAGCTTTATGTTTCTTCTGGTTGTTCAAAGTGAGTGATCTCAAGTTTTTAGTCATTGTATGAACAATATTTTATATACAGTTGTGATAGATTTGTGTCTCTTGTATTATAATGTGTTTAATATTGTAGTTTGTTTTCATTTATTTAATTCTGGAGGTTGCAGTGAACAGCTGTTCAAAAAGCTGTTTCCTGCTAAATGCATGGTGGTTTCACATCAGACTCTGTAGTGGAATTATCAAGCCATACACTGCCACCCACTGGTCAGATGTAGTAAATATAACAAACGTGTCTTCAAAATCAAGATTGCCTTCACAAAGTCATTCCCACGAGGCTCAGGAATGTCTTTCCAATCCTGTTATTCCAGACAACCCTTTTTTTATGAAAATGTTTAACCAGGAGAAACATCATGATATTAAGAATCTCATTTACAAGAGTGTCCTGACCAAGAGGGGCAGCAGCACAACAGATATGTTACAGACATAAAACACAGAGTAATTACAAACACAGATCAACATGTCCTGAGTCACAGAGAAGAAAAGTCATTATTTAAAGCATCTCGCATTTTCCTCCAACACCTTCAATATACTTTAAAAATGATAAAAAGAGAGACCAGCTCCCCAAGACAAAGATCATCCTGAAGGAGATTCCAGCCAGCAGGAGCAGCGCACCTGAGACTCCTTTTCCCTGTTTCAAGACACAGTTTGGGAACAGATAACAATACGTTTTGTGACTGGCTCGTAGAGCAAAGACCTAGCTTCCAGTCCTTTTCGCATGAATACAATTACACAAGTGTGAGGGAAGCAGGTTAAAGGGATACTTCACCCATTTGCATTAAGCTTTGTATCATTAGAAACCTGGTAGTATTTTTGAATGGTCGTGCATCCCGCCCTCATTTTCCCCTGAGATGGGAAATCTTTGTATTTCTAAGTCTGAAAAGGAGCTTCCAGTGACGCAAAATGATGATTTGTGCGTCACTGGAAGCTGTTGTGGTTAGCGGGGTGAAACTACAACGCTAGTTCCTCATATTTTCGACCACTGAAGCTACAGACCAATCACAGATCAGTGGGTGGGAACTCGCTCCCAGAATCTAAACTTAACGTCCGCCATATTGCTTGGAAGCTGTGCTAACAGGCTCTATGGAGAAAGCTGATAATGGCAAAAAAACATAAATATAGCGGCCGACAGGCCGGTTTTGTGTTTTGGCTGCCACGAGCCCGGCCGCCACGAGCCCTGCCCCCGGGAGCCCGGAGCTGCGACATAAGACCGGCCTGTCGGCAGCAACCGTCTCTATATTGTTATATTGCCGCTGCCGGCCACCGCCAGCTCAGCAGCAGAGACATGATGCCTGCCTGTCGGCGGCGGTGAGGATGAGGAGCCGGGGCCGGCTCGAGTTGGGGTGACTGGTAGTGTCGGTGCTCTCACTGTTTGACTATGGACACAGACATAGAGTCTGTTTTCTGCCATTAATTTCCAAGATCAGTTCTGGAAGAAATCTCTGAATCTGTTAGGAAATGGTCTTATGTGTTGAAGTAAATGTCTGTAAATGTTTTTATTACTATACTTCTACTGCTATACTGTATATTTTGGAGAAACTGTAACGATCAAATTTCCCTCTGGGATTAATAAAGTATTTCTGATTCTGAATTAGAGGACCTTAGTGGGAGTGGCCTGCGGTGCATTCTGGGATTTGGTGTCTTTCATCAACATGAGCCAAAAAGACACTTTCTGCCTTTTCACGGCCCCAACTTCAAAATGTATTTCACATTTCTACATATGACCCAATGTCAATACAGATTCATGTTTCAACAGGTGAAGTGTCCCTTTAAGTATAGCCTTATAAATAAGGACATGCCAATGAGTTTGTCTACTCATGGACAATGCAGGCCAGCCGCTTGATCATACAGTACAATCAAATCATCAATCAATCAGAGGCATAATGTAGCATCAACAAGTCATTTCAACATCAAGTAAAAACTAAGGAACGATATTATTGTTGAAATTCTAGATATTGATTTTAGGTTTGGAGAGACTTTGCTGATCTTCACAATATTTGATGGGGATTCAAACTTTTTTGAAATTAATAGATTTATATTTTTAAACTATTACTTTTGAAAGATTTGTTTTTTACATCCATTGTTTTTTCTGTGAGTTATTACATACTGTAGGTTTCATTGAAGGTGTTAATTCAGCAAGAGCTTAAGTCTGAATTCAAACCCCAGCTCTCCCACAATGTTTGCTCTCCCAACAGGAAGGTCGGGGCTTCTATCCCCAGCTCCTGCAGTCACATGCCCGATGTGTCTCTGGGCAAGACACTTAACCCCAAATTGCTCCCAACTGCTTCATTTGTTGGCACATGAATGTGTATGAATGGGTTTAGTTACTTCTGATAGACACGTAACATAGCAGCCTCTTCCATCAGTGTTTGGATGTGTAGGTGTGACTGCAGTGTAAAAGCTCTTTGAGTAGTTAGAAGACTAATAAAGCACTATACAAGCCCAAGTATTTACCATTTGCATGTGACAAGAAAATGTGTTTTATAAAGAAACAAAAACTATTTGTTTTTTTTCCATTCATAAAAAATAAATAATAGTAATTTTAGCATAATTTTTCATGATGCCCACTCTAGTGGACACTTCTGTGACTTCTTCAAATGTATAAATAATAATAAAAAACGTCTAAAGTTTTGTGTTTAGTAGTATGCTACATTGGTGGATCATAAGTGCTTTGAAAACAACCCTTACATTCATCCCCTCATCTATCGACCCTCATAATCATCCCTTCATCCAACTTCACTCATTACTTTTATCTCTGCCATGCTCATTACGATATTCATTCTAAATTCAGATTTTTCTTGGCTTGGTCTTTGAACATATAGTTGTGATAGATTTCTGTCTCTATGGTGGTTTCCTCGTTCTCCTCTTTGTATTGTATTGTAGTGTGTTTGTATTTTTTCCCATCCCTTTGTGTTTAGTCAGGGTACATATGTGGATCATGACACTTTAAAAACAAATATCAAGCTGAAGTTAACATGAAGAGCAGAAACATAGTTTGTTGTTATGTAGGATATATTTATTATTTCAAACATTGTGATACAGGGATGTTATCTTCTAACTTTATTCAGTTTTGATTTCTTTGTTTCTATCAATGCAGTAGACCAGTTCACCGTGCTAATGTTACTTTGATAAAGATGTTATTCATTAAGCAATGAAGCTGTACATGAGAAATAAATGTGATAATGATACAGGAAACAACATTTTCCTCTGAGCTAATGTCAGAGAGCTTTGAACACTCTGTATCTCTCTGAGCTGATGTAGCCTTCATCTCTGAGGTGCTGCAGTTTTCACTCTGAGAGAAATAAGAAGTATAAGCTTAGTCGCCCTCATTGAGGTGAATACCTGCCAGCATTTTGTGTTTTTTCTTATCAAGTATGATGTTTCTCAACTCACCAATGTTGCATTCATAGAAGACGATACTGTACGTTTCATCATAACCACCCTAAAAAAAAATAAAGTATAAACATACCATATGTCCAAATCATCTTAATGATCATCATCATAGTTTCAAAATCACCAAAGGGGGGAACCAGCAGCCTCCCCACCTTGACGTAGGAAGCAGGCCAGATTATGATCAGTAAACAATTATGTGTCCCATCACTATCTCCGTCAATAAATCTTATTGTGAAGTGGCTCAGTGCAAGAGTTGGTCATCTCTCAACCAGAAGGTTGGGGGTTCAATCCCCAGCCCCTGCATCTACATGTTCAATGGGTCCTTGGCAAGACACTTAAGCCCAAATTGCTCCACTGCTTCACCAGCGTGTATGAATGGGATAAATTACTGCCTCTGTTATCAGTGTGTGAATGTGTAGGTGTAAAAGTGCTTTGAGAAGTTAGAAGAAAGGATGCTATACAAGCTCAAGTCTATTTTTCGATTTACAATAAACTGCATCTGGAAGATTTAGGTGATCGACTAAACTTTCATAGATTTCATCCAATAATCTGTCACACAGGGATAAACTGCTTCAAAATCTATTGTGTTATGAATAAAGGAAAATAGTCTGTTTTCTTCAAATGAAAGTTATCTCAGATTTCATAACAGCATGTCTCTGGGGTTAAAAAAATGTTTTTATATTGATTCATGATGTTTACAACAGATCAATAGTTTGAATGAAAGGGTATCAGAAGCTCAAAACAAGACAACAAATAATGAGAAAAGTCCATCCTCTCTGTCTTTAGCCTGCTCCACCTTTCAGACAATGTGTGCTCAAACAGGCTGTTTGGAGATTTTCTCTTCATGACATCACAAAGAAACTTCACAGATATGTTTGGGATCTGAGATTTATTTTAACTTTTTGAAAAGGAGTATAATATGTGACCTGTAATATAATTGTTAATTAAACGGGTACAGGGACTGAACCTTGATGATGTTTTTGTTGTTGTGGAATTACTGTGTGCTGGAAAATGTTACAGTTGAAGCAGGTTTGACATTTACAATCATTGGTGAGACTTACCATATATTTCTGATCATCTAAAACAAAGACAATTAGCATTTTAATGCAGTGAAGTGTACACACAGACATGTAATTAAATGTTAAACCAACATATTCTATTGTATTTGGCTTGGTCTCTTCAATACAGGAGTGAGCAACATACCTTTGGATTTACCTGCGATGTTTGCTTTTGTTCTGAATGAAAAAAGACATAATAGATTGGTTTGGTTAAAAAATATCCTTACTGAAGAGGAAGCAACAGCACAGAACACGTTTCTCAATGTATGTGTTAAGTCTGATCCACACTTAGGTTATCATCACAGTGTTTCCACATAGAGGAAATCTAGAGAGTGAGAGAGAATCAGCTGGTACATCCCGCTGTAAATGCCGATTCTTCTTTTAATATTTTACTGCAGCTGCTGTCCTGCATCATAGTTTATGATGATTGTTGTGATACGCATCATCATCAATAAGCCTCCAACACGAAGATACCTGATGTGATTACAGAATATCGAGTGAAACATTTGAAATGCAGGTCATTTATTTGAGCTTTTAGCATACTTTTATGTGTGTGTGTGTGTGTGTGTGTGTGTGTGTGTGTGTGTGTATGTGTGTGTGTGTGTGTGTGTGTGTGTGTGTGTAAGCCTCCACACAGAAGATCACCTGATGTGATTACAGAATATCGAGTGAAACATGTGTGTGTGTGTGTGTGTGTGTGTGTGTGTGTGTGTGTATGTGTGTGTGTGTGTGGTGTGTGTGTGTGTGTGTGTGTGTGGTGTGTGTATTTGTGTGTTTGTGTGTGTGTGTGTGTGTGTGTGCGTAGATAAGTGAATGGAAGGGAAGTAAGATGAGCAGATTAAAGTAGTTTATGACACAAATTATAATAAGTAAGAAAAAAAACACAATTAATATAAATATGTTTTTACAAACATTAGGTTTATATATAACCAAACCTAATATAAACAAGGTACGATGACTTTTTATCAGATTCAGCATGGTTAATTATTGGATGGTGTTCTAAACTAAAAAAGTTGTCACTATTACTCTGCTGACTCACTTTTATCTAAATATTTGATGATTCATGCTTCATGTAACGCTCGGTTCTAGCCCCCCTCGAAAAAAATTTGCCAGTGTGACATCATTGTCAGTGTGATATGACTGATCTAAGCCCATTGGCTCGTTGTGGCGAGCCCAGCAGCTCATGTTGCACGCCCGTTAACTTCTGTAGCACGCCCACAATATGCCGTAGCCTGCGGTAGCACAGTAGTGCTAAGGTGCTAATGTTTATGCTCCCTTGGAAGGAGCCAAAGTGGTTGCATTCCCAATACGGTAAAAGGGGCGTGACATTTCCGAGAACCGTGCTGAGCGACTGACCAATAACGGCAGAGGAGACCAATCAGATCAGACTTGGCACACGTGGGGACTCTGATTGTGGGCACTTCAGAGCCTTAGAGAGAGAGAGTCAGAAGCGAGCCGTGCATGGAGCGGCAGTACATGAAAACAGACACTTTTTTAGAACTTTAGCTATTGTGAACATACTTTAGTAGGTACATAGATTAAATATATGAACCCCAAAAAGGGCAGAATATGGGCTCTTTAAGCAGGATAGCCACCCCTCCCCATTCCTCCACTGGCCTGCACTCACGCTGCTCCAGGACTAACCGGGCCTGAGCACGGTACGGATTGCCGAGTGTGAGTGCGCCCTAACACAGCCGTCTCCACAACAACAACACTGGTGTTTAGCACAAACAGCCACAACAAGACCTACAACCAGCCGTACTACTACTGGATTAGAGACATGTTAACATTCTTTACACCAAAGTGAACACCTGAAGAAGAACTATGGTCAAAAACCTTGTGTTTCAATTAAATCTTTTGGAGGCATTTGAGCGAGCGGGAATTTCTTCTCTTCTCTAATGTTCTGTATACACAGATGTTTTTTAAAGCCATCTGGGGGGAAAATGTTAGATTCACCCAAAGTTGAAACCATTTTGACTTGGTCCAAGCTCGAAACATCAGTCAGGAGAATTTATAATAAATCTCATCTTAACGTCTTAACATTTTGATTTACTAAACATGGTCTACTCTTCTTTCTCCACCAGATGCTGCATAGAGCTCATATTGTATCTGTTTCTTAAGGCCTAGTAAATAACATTAAGACTGTACTGTCTATACTTTTCTTGAACAAAACATGGAACAACAAATGTCTTAGAGCCTCAGAGGAGTGAATTTGTCTGATTTTGACGAGACTTGCATGTCAACGTCATCAGTATATGAGTGTGTGGGTAAATATGTTGAAGTTGTGCTTTAAAGACTTAACAAATGTCAGAGAGCACCACATGGGGGTTCATGTATATAAATCACTCACATTAGACCAACCAATAAGCAACCAGTATGTAAGAACAATCTGACAGACATTTAAGTTGTCCACTTTGTAAAATACGTTACCTGATTCTGGTGTCCCTGGTGTTTGGGAGGTAACAGTGGAACCACCATTTATACTTGTGCCCATAGTCCAACCTGTTCCATAAGGAAAGTACATTTCAAAATAAGTTTGTTTTAAAGGAGTCACCAGAGTAGAAGCAACAGAGCTGGGAACAGTCAGACCTGGCCAATAAAAATACCTCTTTAATTTTTTACAGGTCATCAAAGTTGTTAATTGAAGTTTTCTTGAACGATAAAATGTTCTACAGTAGTTGTGACAAATGATGGTGTTTTCTGGATCCTGCTTGACTCTCTCTCCACAATACCTACAGTAGCAGGAGACAGATTAGGGCTCACCAATTCCTACTTTTTAGATTGGTAGGTGACTTTTCTTAGCAGCCTTGATATTAGTTAATTAGTATTTGTACATATGTTAGTATGAATCTTAGAGATGGGCCGGGATGCATAACTTAGTTTTTTAGGTTGATGCTAACACATACTGGAAAATGTCATTAACTGGCTAACTTAATTAGCACTGCAATCATTTAAACTTAGGAAACAATATATTTTATTTTACATACTAAACAAACAACACCGTAGTCACTTGACTTACAGGCTTGTATAAAACTAAACTCTGTGCAGACAAACTTAAAACTGCTGACTCATGCTAGTCTGGTCTCAATGCTCTGATCTAGTAACACTGCATGACTTGCTCTTAATGTCTCAGTTCATGGGACATAACAGAAACATTAAGAGTGTTTCAGCCCAGCTTCTCAGTTCAATTTTGACTGTGACACAGAGGATAATGGCGGAGGCACGGTGGGGATGAGAAAGTCAGGCATCAATCTTGTAGGGGACTGGTTGCTGCCACTTTTCTGCCTGTGCTGAACTATTGTGATGTGAAACATATGCACACTGTTTCTCAAAGGTAACTCTGGACTCTGTATCACAGAGTTCTGCGGTTCATCACTCCTTTCATCACTTCATTTTCTGTCATACCTCCTGACCTCCATCAGTCAGATGAGAAGAGGAACTCATAATCTTCTCACAAACTTTCCTCGCTGTCTGTTCCAAAAGTGGGAACTGAACTGGGGAAAAAGTTGTTTAAGTTTGCTGCCCCTGTTACTTGGAAGGAATTACATCTGGGATGGACAGATGTGCAAAAACTGGAATGGCTGTTTAAGTTTGAATCATTTTGTTTCAAAAGCCTGGAAAAGAAGACAGGATATTCTGTTTAATTAGTTTGACTTGCTTTTGCTTTCTCTTTTTGTTTCTTGCCAATGAACATAGTTTACCTAATGCACTCTGATCCTGGAACGTTTTAATTTATGGTGTCACGTAAGCCCATGCGGGCTAGGCATATGAATGTATGTGACAAAATAATGAAATAAAAAAACTTCAAACTACAAAAATACCTGAAACCTAACTAGCTGCTGTCATGTTTTAAGAGGATGTTAAATGACTTGGAAGAGGACACATCTGGCTGTAGATGTTCCCTTCTGATATATGCATGTTTGTGGGCGATATTGACAACTATTTGAGGATTAAATTTGTTATTTTGTATATTTTGGTTTTTAATAGTTATGTATTATATTAGTATTTAAGGCAGCACGTTGTTTGTCAGAAACTCTGAAAATTGTGCTGCTGCCTGTCTTGGCCAGGACACTCTTAAAAAAAGAGATTTTTATTCTCAGATGTTTTTTCTGATTAATTAGTATAAAGGGTCACTCAATCAATTCTGACTTTTAAAAACAAAAACACTCTTAATTAAATCCTGAAACGGGCGAGCAAATTTAAAGATGAGTCTCAATCAAACCTGTCAGAATTGTATTCTTAACAGCTGCAGTTTAAGGCAAGCTCTATTATCCAAGACAAGTGGCTTCTTCACTCTATCTGTCAGGTTGGTGTTCAGTTGATAGAGTCCATCGTCTCTCAACCGGAAGGTTGGAGGTTCGATCCCCAGCTCCTGCAGTTACATGTCCGATCTTACACTTTTGATTTGTTGTCTGTGTAAGGACTTTGCTCTTTGAAAATGTTTGTTCTAATGTATTCTGTCTGGTCTTTTTAACCTTGAATTTGTTATGTGTTGTGTGTATCTAATGGAGTGCTGAATCTCCTGTCTTGCACAACAAATTAATCTATGAAGGTACAAATAAAGAAACCTTGAACCTTGAAACTTGAACCTTGAACCTTGACTATAGCTAGCTGCATACAGATGGCTTCCCTCCACTGCTTTTTTGCAGAAGCTCTGCATCCTGGGCAGCTTTGCTTTATCCTCTATAGGATTAATAGCATAGCATAGTCATCTCCTCCAACCCCCCGTCACCAGGATGGATTGTGAACTCCTCAAAGTAATACTTGACTGCCTTATTGAAGTTTAACCCATGCAGATTTTTCACAAAATCCATATTTAGGCCGATCACTCTGTATCTCTATACTCGTGTCCTCTGGGAAAGACAATTTCATTATGATTTCACCATTATGCCAACGATACTCTAAATATTAAGATATTTTAGCAAAACCCGAAAAAAAACCTCTTCTGCTTTTTGCTGATGGAGGGGACTAAAAAACTTTGATGATAAAACCCAATAATAAGGAATCAACTGTCCTCTCATAACTGTTAATAACTGCTATGTCGCTATCCAAAAGTGGATTTATCTTAATTTTCTTAATCCTAATCCTGACAAAACTGATTTATAATTTTATTGTAACAGATACCATCACCACTGAAGTTGATCAGTTAATTGGCTCGTTTCAACCAAATATCAAATCTTGGTATCGTCTTTGACCAACGTATGACTTTGACCATCATACCACTAAGTTTGTCCAGGCAAACTCCCGCTGTGTGGGACTTGTTTAAAGGATAAATCAGGAGTCTGTTGGACTTGAATGTCTGAAAAAATTATGTTTTAACAGGAGTCTGAAGTTTAAGGAAAATGTGGGACTGTAGTTTTATGTGACAGTGCTAGTTAGTAAATGATGGTAAAAGAGTAAGCAACACTAAAATATGCAGTAGGCTATACTCACCTTGATCAGCAGGTGAAGTTACAATAGAAACTGAGGTTGTCAAAGTGCTGAGACTCTCCTTGTTTGAGTTTGTCTCACCTAAAAATAAAATCAAATGTTTTGTTCATATTTACACCACAGGGTTTTTCTTCTGCTGATCCAGCTTGAAGACAGATTTACTTACTTTGAACAGAGACAGAGGAATATTCACTTTCTGGAGATCGAGTATTTCTGTCTCCAATCTGAACAGTGTAAAAACATTTCACTTTGACCTCAGCAGGTGAACTCTGATGATCCATCTTCAGCAGTTCACTTCCTGTCAGTGTCTGCAGACAGGATAATATCTTCACAGTTTCTCCACTTAAAGTTTGGTAATAACACTGAGACACTGATGATGGAGTCTGACAGTTCAGTGTCACTGAGTCTGTCTCTTTGATCACTGCTGGATTCACCATCAGGTCAGGTTGAGGAAGAGCTGAAAATATGAGCAAATAAACTTGAATAAAATAAAACCAAATATAATTACAACTCTAACTCTTCAACCGTATCATATATTGTCCACCAGTGCTCCCATTAGTATGTTTGTTTTGGTGTTTTTAGGATTAAAAACAATAGGAACAACAGATTGTCTTACATAATCACACTCAAAATAATTATTAAAACACACAAAACAAATGTAGCTCAAACACATATTAAATCTGCAGAAGCATTTTCATTCAAATAAATCACTTGACAAATGTATACTTATAGAGGATGCCTTTTGACAATATTCCAACTCTTTAAATCAGACTGCTTGAACCAGTTTGTTTCTTTCTGATGATGTAACAAAATATATGAATATTGACAACACTTGTATTACTCACTTTGTATGCTGATGGAGACTGTGTCACTGTGTGGAGATGGAACATTTCTGCCTCCACTCTGAACAGTGTAAAAACATTTCACTTTGACCTCAGCAGATGAACTCTGATGATCCATCCTCAGCAGCTCACTTCCTGTCAGTGTCTGCAGACAGGATAATGTCCTCACAGTTCTTCCAATTAAAGTGAAGTAATAACACTGAGACACTGATGATGGAGGCTGACACTTCAGTGTGACTGAGTCTGTCTCTGTGATCACTGCTGGATCCACCATCAGGTCAGGTTGAGGAAGAGCTGAAAATATGAGCAAATATATTTGAAAAATAGAAATGTAAACATATTCACCATTATTGAAACAGTATAATACATTCCTCACCAATGCTCCCATTAGTATGTTTGTTTGAGTGTTTTTAGGACTATAAACAACAACAGATTATCTCATATAATCACTCTCAAAATAATTATTAAAACACACAAAACAAATGTAGCTCAAATACATATTAAATCTGCAAAAGCTTTTTCTTTTAAATAAATCACTTGACAAATGTATACTGATAGAGGATGCCTTTTGACAATATTCCAACTCTTTAAATCAGACTGCTTGAACCAGTTTGTTCTTTCTGATGATGTAACAAAATATAATAATATTGACAACACTTCTATTACTCACTTTGTATGCTGATGGAGACTGTGTCACTGTGTGGAGATGGAACATTTCTGCCTCCACTCTGAACAGTGTAAAAACATTTCACTTTGACCTCAGCAGATGAACTCTGATGATCCATCTTCAGCAGTTCACTTCCTGTCAGTGTCTGCAGACAGGATAATATCTTCACAGTTTCTCCACTTAAAGTTTGGTAATAAAACTGAGACACAGATGATGGAGTCTGACAGTTCAGTGTGACTGAGTCTGTCTCTGTGATCACTGCTGAATTCACTGTAAGTTTAGGTGGAAGACGAGCTGAAAATATAAACAATTAATATGTTTTATCAAACTCAAACATAAGCTGCATATAAATGTTTAAATTCTTCAGTAGTGCAGCGATCACAGCACAGTTAGACATGAACCATGAGAGATCACAGACTGACCTTCTGTTTGAATCCCATTAAAGACATCTGTTTAAAAAACACAGTGAAAGTAAGTTGACTACATAATAATAACTCCAAGAGTTCACACATTTCAACTCTTCCAACTATTCATTTATTTTAATCAGATGGAAAATTATTAAGTGAGACAAAAATAGATTTTATTTGTCACAACTGGCAGAACACACAAAACACAATATCACCGACTCAAAGCTTAATCACTGATATGATGATATCTGACATGACACATTAACGTCATGTTTCAATCTGCAGTGCTTTATAATAGTCCACAATAATACTGAATAAATCAATAAAGGTTTTACTTACACATGAAGAAGACAAACAGCAGACGTCTGGCCATGATGAAGCTGAACACTGAGACTGTACAGAGGATACGTGTGTGTCTCACTGTATGGACTTTGTCGTTAATGAGACCAGGTTCTTAAATTAGATACATGAGAACGACAGCTATCAGAAATGAGACCCAGGCCAACAGCCCAAGCCTATTGTTATTTTTTACTTGTATGCATATGTGTTAGTGTCAAATCCTGCACAATGGAAACTAGCTCCTGTAGAAAGATGACATGGTGTATCTGCAGGTGTAAAACTGACACTTCACTAACACGCTGAGCTTGTTTGTGTTCTGCTCTCACTAAAGACAAAGTTTGTTCCGTCTGGTTGATACATTTTAAAGTGTCTTATATCAAAAAGTATTTGGTCTTTGTAATTATGGATACTAGTTTTCTTTGGGTGACCACGTGTCCCTCTTTGTGCAGGACTGCACAACAAAGTGTTCTAGTACTCGAAATTGGCCTTTGTCTCAAGACCGGCCTTAAGACCAGTTTTTGGAGGTCTCAGTCTTGCTCGGAATCAAAAGCATTTTTGCTTGGTTTTGTCTCAGTCTCAGACCAGGAGGACTCCGGATTACAAATCAAGATCAGTCACGAACACCACTGTAAAGCTATTTTTCTCTGTCATTACTGTAATTAGAAGAAATAATAAATAACTTCAATTGATTCATAACTTGATTTTTATCCCTAGGTTATGTCCGCAAATGGTCGAAGTGAGTGACACGCCTGCTGCACACAAGATGATGATTTTTCAGAGATATTTATGGTCCTCGCTCTGCCTCGGTCTTGATTCGGTCTCTGAGCATTCTGTTCTGGGGAACGTCTTGGTCTCTGACATCAGCACAATGTTTTCATCACATGTCAGCATCCTGCAAACTCTCAACCTTTACCCCCCTCCCTTCATCCCACATCCCTCGACCCTTACTCTCAACCCACATCTTCCAACACTTACCCCTATCCATTCATACCTCAACCCTCATCCCTCGACCCTTACACTCATCCATTCATACCTCAACCCTCATCCCTCGACCCTTACACTCATCCATTCATACCTCGTCCTCATGCTCATCTCTACATCCCCTTCATCTATTGACCTTTATAATGGTAAATGGTAAATTTTTATTTTATTTTATATAACCTTTATTTAACCAGATAAATAACCCATTGAGATCAGGATCTCTTTCACAAGGGTGACTTGGCCAATAAGGCAGCAGCACATGTCATAAAAAGCATTACATGACAAAGAGACAGTTTACAAACAACAAGTTAACAACGATTTACAATGTGCAAATTGATTTACAAATAAAGTGCAGAATCTTGATCACGGATTACAATTCAGAAACACAGGCACTCTCCAATTGACTCGCGTATTTTATCTTTTAAGATTGAGCCAAAGGCTTCAAGCGAGATAAGATCCGCCATTTTCAATTCATTTTGGAGAAAGTTCCATGTGGTGGGAGCAGCAAAACGAAACGCTCTTTTCCCGAGCTCAGTGCGGACACGAAGCACAGTTTAAAGACATCACAGGAACGCAAGGCATAGTGGCTTCTGGTTCTTTGAAGGTAATAGAACATAAGTAAGAAGGCACCAAACCAAGAAGAGCTTTAACGCACAGTGATACACAGTGTCCAATGACTGTAAACATTTGGCCGAGGCGCCCATATACAGTACATCTCCATAATCCAACAAAGGAACAAAGGTTGATGAAACAAGAAGTTTCCTTGCTCTGAGGGAAAAGCAGGATTTATTTCTGTAATAAAATCCCAACTTCACTTTAAGTTTAGAGGCCAAATTGGCAATATGTGATTTAAAAGCTTTTACCTGCTTTTTGTAAAATAACAATGAGTAAGGTCTTTTTACCTGCTCTTTTGTAATGTTAACAGACAAAGAGTAAGGTATTTTACCTGCTTTCTGTAAAGTGTCTTGAGATAACACTTGTTATGAGTTGACGCTATACAAAATAAATTGAATTGAATTGAATTGAAAAGACAGATCACACTCAAGAATAAATCCCAAGTACTTGTAGCTTTTGACAAGCTCGATTACATTTCCTTGAGAAGTTAAAATCAGTGGGACATTTGTTGTTTCTCCACTTAAATGAGAAAACAACATGAGCTTTGTTTTATCAGTGTTTATGACCAACCTTAGTTCCCTCAAACGAGACTGGACAACATTGAAAGCTGACTGCAGAAACTCAAAAGCTTGTGTAACAGATGCTGAGCAACAATAGATGATAGTGTCATCAGCATAAAAGTGATACATGACATTTGACAAATTTTCACACGTTATTGATATAAATGGAAAATAAAATAGGTCCTAGTATCGAACCTTGGGGCACCCCTTTTGAGATTTCTAAAAAGGAAGAGGTGGATCCTGCCATTTGCACGCATTGCGTTCTGTTTGACAGATAGTTGCCAAACCAAGAGGCTGCTTGCTTTGATAAACCAACTTGATGGAGGATTTTGATCAATAATCCATGATCAACTGTATCAAAGGCCTTTGATAAATCAATAAAGAGAGCTACACAAAATTTCTTACAATCAATTTTTTCAATAATGTCAGTCTGACTGATACTTAGATAACACATTATTGGCATCCAAAAAATCCTTCAGTTGTTCACTAATGATTTTTTCAAATACTTTAGTCAAAATGCAAAGTTTAGAAATTGGTCTGTAATTGTTTACTTGTGAGGGTTCACCCCCTTTTAACAGGGGAAGAACAAATGCTGATTTCCAGACCTTTGGGATTTCATTGCTGATCAGACTGAGGTTAAAAATATATGAAAGAGGCTCAGCAATAAAATCAGCGGCCAACTTAAGAACGGCTCAAGTTTATCAGGACCTGCTGATTTCCTGGAGTCCAGTTTCTGTAACGCTCTCTGCACCTCAGTGGCAGACACTGGCATAAATTGAAAAGGATGAACAATAAGTTGACTATCAACCTCAGATGCCAGTGACGCATTATCCTGATTTTTGTCGGATTTTACCAAATCAGGGTGCAATGAGTCAAATAAAAGCCAGCTAAAATAAAATGTTCATTAAAACAATTTAGCATGGCTGATTTGTCAGTCAGGATGCAAGACTCTTTGACTAAGTGGGCCGGCACATCACTGGGTGACACATGGCCAGAAGAAGATTTTATGACTTTCCAAAATTTCTTTGGGTCATTAAGGTTTTTTGTGGTTTCAGAGATTAAATACTCTGATTTCTCCCTCTTAATTAGGGTTGTACATTTATTACGAAGCTGGCGAAAGAGGAGCCAATCCACTGGGGTTTTAGATTTCCTTGCCCTGGCCCAGGCAACATCCCTATCTTTAAGTAGATTTCCAATCTCTGTTGAAAACCAGGGGTTGTTTCGCCCTTTAACCCTGAATATGCGAAACAGGGCATGTTTGTCTATTAAAAACAGAAATCCGTCATAAAAATACTTCCAGGCTAGCTCTACATTATCAAAGAGAAAAACTCTGGTCCAATCAAAACAAGCCAGATCATGTATAAAAGCTTGTTTGTAAAAGTGTTTAAAATCTCTTTTAAGAAGAAGCCGAGGCTTGGTTTTGGGAAGTTTGGCATTTCGAACTGTTGCAATGGCACAATGATCATTTGCAAAAACCCCTATATCGGTATAGTTATGAGGGCCATTTGTCAAAATTAAGTCCAGTAGGGTTGATCTTGTGGGTTGTTTAATATTAGGACAAGTTGGACTATCAATCAGTTGAGACAAGTTTAGAGAGGCACAAACAGATCTGAGGCTGTCCGTGGCTGTGGACAGCCAATCACAATTTAGATCCCCAACCAAAAGTAGCTCACTGGAATTTAGTCCAGCAACATAGCTGGATAAGGAGGACAAGGCTTCCAAACAGGCTGAAGGAGGTCTATAACAACCCAAAACCGAGATAGACTGGCCCTGAGAGAATTCAAGTTTCAGGGCAAAAAGTTCAAATTGCTTGCTGATGGTCACAGATGTTAGGATGGTAGCATGGAACTTATTTTTGACATAAATAGCAACGCCACCACCTTTTCTGGGTCGATCACAACGAAAGACATTGTAACCTTTAATAAAAATATCTTTATCTGAGACTGACTTACCAAGCCATGTTTCAGACAATACAAGAATATCAGTATCAGTTGACTGTGTCCAAATTTTAATTAGGTCCAATTTTGGGACAAGGCTCCGAACATTGATATGAATGATACCAAGGCCAGTTCTGGCTCTGAATTCATCAGGTGTAGCAATATTATTCAGTGCAGGGCCTGGATTTGGTTTAACATTGCCTGAGAGTGAAAGTAGAAGTAGAATAAAACCTTTTTTCTTTGCATTTAGTGTTGGTACAGGACCATCATTATGATGCTTGACAAGATCAATAAGTGAGATCTCTGACAATGTGAAATAATTTTTCAAGACAGAGATGCACATCAAACAAAGGTAGTTTGCATCCAGTAAATGGACTTGAACTTATAGCGCTTTTCTAGTCTTCCAACTACTCAAAGCACTTATACACTGTATGTCACACCTACACATTCACACACTGATGGTAGTTGTTGTTATGTAGTGTCATCCATCAGAAGTAACTAAACCCATTCATACACTGCTGCCTTAGCAGCAGGAGGAATTCGGGGTTAAGCATCTTGCCCAAGAACACATCGGACATGTTGCCCAGCGATCGAACCCTCGACCTTCCGGTTGAGAGACGATGACTCTACCAACTGAGCCACAGCCGATAATATTCCCATCATCCAACTTATCTCAGTATGTCGATACACACAGGGTGTGGAAGTGGAATTCCCAGCCTATAATGAATTTTTGGATACAAGGTGGAGATTTTGTCTTGTCCAAGAACATTTTGTTGTCTGGCAACAACCACGCATAGTTTGGCCTCCTCAAATTAAAGAACACCTTCTTGTCCATTCAGGACCTTACTGAGCTGGCAAAGTGAAGGAAGAGATTAGGCAATGGCAGTCTGATTGTATCTAGGGAGCTAACCGTGTTTTTTTGTATTTGTAT